TCCCTAGGTATAGGTAGCAGTGAGAACTAACTGGGTCAGCAGCAGTGGTAACTTGCCACTAGTCGCCCAGATTCCTGTTCTGGGAATTGGAGACGATCCCTCCTGCTATTTTCAAATGCCTGCTCTGCTTGCGTGACTTGGATTCTCTATGGCAAGCACACTTGGAAGACAAGAAAAGAGGTTTATCTGTTTTAGCTGGCTAGCAGATTTTGTTTAAAGGGCTGGATTTTTTTTCTTCCTGTTTTCTTTGCTGATCAAATGGAATTCTCACTTTAGATTTTTGATTTTTGTAGAGGTGGTGGGTGAAGCTAAGAAAAAACAAAATGCCTAATAAAGTGGTTATTTGTTTTGCATAACACTTAGTTTTTTGCTAGATTTATGCAATGCCCCCTGAAAATGGGAGCAAAAGGTCAAAAATGGATATACAAATTTGGACCAGATGACAAATTTTCGTCAATTGTAACTTGTCAAGATAGAGTTTTGAGATTGGGAGAACTTCTCAGTTTCTGAAATGTCCGTGTCTTGAAGTTTGTTTGGTGCAATACCTTGGATGGCAAGATAGTAGAAATGCTTGTTATTCCCCACCACTCCAAAGACATGAATCAAGAGCCTGCAGACCTGCTGAGATAGTAGTTTCCTTAACCTTGCTAAATGTTTGAGAAGGGATATGAAATCCTATCTGTCACTTTGCAGGGGAATTTGAAGGTCAAAAACAAGATAAGTTGTAGGGCAATTGGGAAATAAATAAAAAGAAACATGTGTGAGACAGCACTGTTTGAGGGGCTCTAGCAGGTTGAAGCGAGTGATCTGATTGCAGTTGCAAACTCTTGGAAAGATCTGAACAGATTCAAACCTCATGGAAGGCCAAGCTGCAGCCTCAGCACCATTAGCAGTGGGCTGCCCCATGCTCAGTGTGGCACTAGTATCCCTGCTTGTCACCTCAAGCTTGGATGCAGTGGAGTCTTCAGCCTGCAACTCAAATCTGTGCTTTCCAGCTGAAGAAAGCTTGTGACAAATACCTGGTGGAAAAGAATGTTTCAGTGTATGTTAAATCACTGTTTTCCTATGTCTTTGTGTGTTGTAAGTATAAATATTTATCTGGGTGGTGTTTATAAGGGGTTGTGTTTTTTTTTTTTTTTTTTTTTTTTAAGGGTATGGTGGTGGTAGGGTTTAGTTTTGGGGGATATCCTTCTATTTTGATGCACAGAGGTTGGTGCATTTGGATGAATTGTGCAGCCATTAATTTTAGAACTGTTTTAGCTTTGGGCTTTGGTAAGTAATTTAACATGGGCTGAAATTTCCTGAAAGCCAAGCAACAGCATCCCTACTGATTCCTAGCTTCATCATAGTCTCATCAAAGTCACAGCTCTGCAGTGTACATGCAAATACAGATGGAAAACTGATGGGGAATTATGTCAGACTGTGGACTGATGGATTAGATAGGATATAGAGCAGTCTCAGGATGAGGCCGACTTTCTTTAGTTAAAGCATGGGAGAAAAGGGAGCAGAATTCACCTGAACTTCTAAGGAAGCAGGACTCCTCAGTATGTGGGAGCTGGCTTAAAAAAAATCAAAGAAATTAGTTGTTGCTTTGCATTTTTATGCGAGAATAAAAAATGCATATTTAATTCATAGGAAATACCTTTGGAGGAATACTATATTTACTTAAAAGTTAGCAAGAGATGTACCAAGAAAATATCCTAGAGAATAGGGGTATAAAAATAAAAACAAGCAGAAACAGTTTTTTTAAAAAAAGTCCACTGCAATAACATCAAGTTGGAGCTGCCTAACATAATGGTGAGATGCAGTAATGATATTGCCAAAGTTATTCTCTTTTGTCATCTCAGCCTAGTAAAATACTTACATTAATGTTGTCTTGATATTTTATGATATGTAGATAAGTCAGAAATGTCAGACTGAGCTGTCTGTAGCTAAATCTAGTGAGAGAAAATAAAAGGGAAGGGCTTTGAGAACAGCATGGTTTAAGGCTGCTCTTCCAGAGGTTTAGAGGGGTCTGCTTAAGCTTGGTCCACACTGTGGATTGTACCATTATGTCTGAGTGTATATATAAATAGCATCTGTTTGGTGGTCAGAACTCTTGGAGTGGTGAGCTCGAAATGTGTTGGAGATACAGGCTCTTTTTATTCTATTTAATGGCCGTGCAAGTGTTATTTCTGTATTGTACCTCTAAACTGGCAACAAATCGTTGTTGCAGATGTGGTTCATAATCAAGAAGCCACTAAAAATTGGCAGCAGGGTCAGACGATTTCACCAGAAGAGGTAAATTATGGCCTTTTGTAGCTCAGAAGGAGAGAGATAGAGAGATCTTACCGCTTACATTTTCATGGTTAATGTCCACTTTGGGGATAAATTAATTTTTCATGCATGTTTTGAGGAGGCAGAGTCAAAACTCCTAGCATTTTAATGTCATGGGGGGATTGTTTCAGCCTCTAGCTGTGTTAAATGGGACTAATAATTTCAGATAATCGGTGTCTAACAACTTCTGAAAAATGGAAACTAGTTTAGGAGTGATGTAAAGAGAAATTTTCCACATTAGTGGAATGTTAGTCAAATGCTAATCTTCTTAAAACAGTTTCCACTGGTGTTTGGAGAGTGGGTCTCTTAAGGTCAGCAAGGGAAGGTAACAGCAGAGGGTCCTGCTCTAAAACAAATTGTGAAAGCCTGTGTATATTTCTGAATTTCAAAGCAGAAGTACTGATGTCGTGTAAAATATTAGTTTGAATTTCTTTAAAATCATAAGTTTGCTTAAAATCATTATATCTTATTTTCATTAAATGTTACAGAAGATAACTGTGAAGTTTAAACAATTCTAGAAATAAATAGGAAAGCTGGGAAAATTAAGAGTGAGATTTACTATTTCTTAGTAATCTCCTCATATGAAACAACCTGGCACCATGTAGCTTTTAGACCTCCACATGGTGTCATGACGGGTGAAGCTTCAGAGATGGCAGAAATTTCCCATCAGTAGATTTCTGCTGGATACTCACAATTCCTGTTGGTAAACCTAAAAAGCTGGAAGTCAGAAACAATAAGCACCGTGAGAGATACACGCCAGAATCTCTGTGCAAGTGTCATCTTCTCTCTTCCCTCAAGTAATTGTTTTTCAGTATTTCTGGACAATGAAATGTGAAGCATAGTTATAATCTCTTTGCTGAGAGCAGCAGTTGAGGGAGCAGAGTTTTCTATGCGCATCTTTGTAACAAATAGGTTGAGAAGAAGCATTCATTCTGAAAGACTGATAAAAATGTTGGCCTTCTTGTGGATAACCAAAATTCTTGGCTTCATATTTCTTATTCACCTGCCTGCGGCAATACTGAATATACGGTGCTAGGTTTAGGACGTAAAAGCTTGTTTACACAATATGTAAAAATATATATTTCAGATGAAACATCATGAAGACTTTCTGTTATTTGTAACAGTCTCTGGATTTGAATCTTCAGAATTCTTGTGTAATTCTTACCATGTTACTAAATTTTATCTAGGCCTTTATCTGAACGCCTAATTTAATTGAACTAATGCAAGTAAAAGATTTTCTTTATTAAGCATGTCTATATCATATATCTCAGCTTCTGTACATGCAAAAACTCTAAATTTCATGGCATCTTGAAAGAGTGCAAGCTCTGGATCCCATCTGTAATATTATGTCTCTGGATGAGAGTATTACAAGTGTATATTTACCACTAGTGGTTTGAGGAGCCTATGTACAATCAGTGCAGGTACAGTCCTCCAAAATAAAATAGACCTACTTTCAAGAAAAACACCATTGTCTGAATTTTCAAGAGCGATGTTAAAATAGCAGCTTCAAAATAACACAAGTACTTCTGGAAAAAATTATATAAGTCTTAATTTCATTCGTATTTGTTGTTAACTGTTCATTCCTAGCTTTTGTGCCTCTGTGACAGTGTTCTAACATACCCCAGCTTCACTGCAGCTCTATGGCTAAGCTGGGGGTGAGAGAATCTTAGTGCACTGATGGGACCCCTTAGTGAATCCTTGCCATAAGCCCCGAAGTTCCCGCCGTTGCTTCCTGTGAGCCACAGCTTCATTTGAATGTGGTTTGTGTAGATGCATCTTTAGACATGAACAGGATCTGCTGTTGACCTCATCCCATTGCTTCTCCTCATCGAGTATATAATCATTGTGTAAGCAATTAAATGCTTGTTTTCATCATAAGGGAAAATAAATAATCAGCTCCTAATCAAGCCATCAGGTATACCCAAGAAACTTGCTAGGCATCAGACTGGGATGTTACCTTTGGGCTCCAAGACACTTCCATATGCTGAATATTTGTTATTAAAACCTCTCCGGATCTACTGGTGCTCAAGAAGAGGGTTTTTTTTTTCAGTAAGCACTGACACTGTCTATGTAATCATTGTTATTTTAACTGAGGATTAAGAGTGGAGTTGAAATAGGCAAAAAAAAAAAAATTGCAGAATATATCAAACTGGGATTTTTCTTACTCAAAATCTAAAAGCATTATAAAGAAAATGTCTGTATACAATGCAAGGCATTTCTTTGGTGCTGCCATGCAACACTTGTGCAACTTTTGTAACTTGATTCCAGGTCAAAATTGGTAACTGTTGTTTTTGCTGTGTGTAAGCTAAAGTAGTAGTATTGTTATCTACACTTAGTCATAATCTTCCAAAGACTTTTAGATATTGTTTCCTCTTTAATGGGCATGTTTTATGTTAGTTGCATCTTTACTGCTTTATTTTAGAGTAAACTGAACATGGTGTTTTTCACTTTTTCCCTATAGCTTAATGAAAGATCAAAAAAGGCAGAAAAAATATTTTTGCTTTACTTGTAGTAAATAAATAAAATGCTTTGCAGTAGCCCATGCATTAAGTTGACTGTGCCCCAAATTGTGCAACATTCAGTAATTACCTTGCAATGTATAAGAAATTAAATATAAATATTGCTATTTTTTCCTTTAGATCAGATGCAGTGAGTAAAGAATACTTGTCTTATTTCCCTAATAGGGTTCCAGATTTTGTGAGGGAAAAACGTTTTGGGAACTGGCTTAAAGATGCGCGAGACTGGGCTATATCCAGGAACCGGTACTGGGGAACACCCATCCCTCTGTGGGTCAGCGATGATTTCCAAGAGGTAAGAAAACAAAAGCTGCCAGTTGGCAGAAAAGCTTCTCTGAATTATGAATTGAGTGCTTAGTTTGATAGACTGTTGTTGCATCTTTTGGCTTTTGCAGCTCTTCCGTGCCTACTAATACATCTTGATTGTATGCATGTATCTATAATAAATGATTAGATATATGTATCAGTGTGCAAATGTGTGCACTCAGGCACACTTACCTCACTTTTGTTCAAAAATTGCAAGCTATTTTTCTTTCTTATTTTCACGTTACAATTTATGTGATCTTTCCTGAGTGAATCTGCAATAATTGGGAAACTAATGGAATTAAGAAAGGCAAAGAAGAGATTTGTTATCAGTCTTCCCAGTGTCCTTTGGAAATGCTCAGTTACTTAAAGCCAAACAAATTGCTGAAGACATGAAAAAGCCAGTTGGCCATAGAATGATGAAAATATATAGTAATAGTATTACAAGTGTGAGTGTTGCCAAATATTCCAGAGTGAATATAGTGGAATTAGGAGGATATATAGTCGTAATGGTACAAATTCTGGGAGTTTACGTTGTAATGTCTCTTGCAGTTGGCAGCATAAAGCTAATTTCACAAATGAATATATTAACAGTTTTGGTGATGACTGTGTTCAAAACTTCAAAATACTGAGTTTTCAGACCCTTTCTCAAGGTAAAATGGGCCTTTTTGCCACATGGATTAGTTCCATTAGACACGTGACAAGATTCCTCATGCTGGAAGGAGGAAGTGGAAAGCTAAGCTAGGATCCCTGTGGAGATAGTGCAAAAGGCAGATCTGTACAGATGTGCTTTTTATCTGCTCTGCTTTTAGACAGGTGTTTTGTTTTGCTTTTATTTCATATACCAAATCCCTTGGGTTTAATCAGTTTTTTGTACGTTTTTAAAAATGTTTATAATGTTTACAAATGTATATATTCAAGGCTAGCTATAGGAATTGACTGTTCCCCCAACTGACTTTCAGTACCCTAAGAGAAACTTTGAAAAATACCTTGTGAGAAACGTTTAACCTACTTCCAGCTCTTCTTTTTTGTGTTGCTACATTTAACTGCTCCCCTGTCAGATCTGCATGGCAAAAGCCAGGTAGTTATTTCCAAGGGAACTCTAAATCGGAACGATAGCGCGTGGGATCAGCCCTTCGCGCTCTGGATCAGTTTTGCAGCTCGTGGATCATGACTCCTGCTTGATGAGAGAGGGCTGCAGGGCCCTGGAGTGTTAAGCTTGATTAAGACTTAAAGCAAGCTATAGGAAGCTTTGCTTTCCTTCTCGTCTCCTACATACAGCTTTAGAACTGTATGTTTCATCAACATTACGTGACGTCAATGCAAATCTGTTGCCGAACTTTATTGCTGTTTTGCTAGATAGTGTGTGTTGCTGCAAAAAAGTAAGATAAATCTGTGGATTTTTAAAATCAACCCCCTTTCCTAATTGTGATTTTTTTTTTAATATTGATTTTGAATTAACCTTGAATAAGATGCAATTAATTTGAGCAGTCTAGTGTACCTGAGGAAAAAAAAATCTTGTCAGTCGAGCTATTTAACCTCAGATAAAGCTGGGATCTGAAACTCCTGTCTCTATACAAAAGTCAAGATCACGTTGTTTTCAGAGCTAATAGTTTGTGGTTTATTTTCAAAATAAACGATCAAAATCTTTGTTTTCTACCTGCCAACAGTTTTTTTTCCAATTCTCCAGTTAATGGAACAGTAATTGTATTAATTCCAGGGCAGTGGTCTCTAGCTTGATGCTTTCTGCTTTGTTGGATTGCATGAGAGATCTGTGTTGACTTTTCAGTTGCTTTGCAAGGTATTACTTGACCTATGATCTGCTTGATGAAAGAAAAAAAATATGAAAAAGCAAATCTGCAAAGTATGCAAATTAATGACTAAATTTCTCAAATGTCTCTTTCAGGTGGTTTGTGTTGGATCCATAGCAGAATTGGAAGAGCTGACAGGAACAAAAGTCACTGATATTCATCGAGAAAGGTCAGTCACAGGGACTGTGAGCCTGTTGTAAAAAATGCATAAACAAGAGTAAGAAGTTTTGGGTTTTGTTCAAGCCCTGGAAAAACAATTTAGGGAAAATAGAAGATAACTTAAGATAACTTAAGATTTGTGATTAAAAATGTATATATTTTTTTTCCTTCTGTCTAAGGCTTGGTCCATATGATATTTGTAAAATAGCTTTGAATTATAAGAAATGTTGAAATAAGTAATTCTTCCTCTTGTACGAGTTACTAAGATTAAAAACAAATAATTCCCATCTTACCTAATATGCAAGTATAACATGGATTTTTTTTTTTTGTACTAGTTCTGGTTTTTGGAACTTACCTGTTGCTTTCTTTCTCGTAGTGTTGATCATCTGCTTATCCCTTCACGCTGCGGCAAGGGCTCCTTGCGTCGCATCGCAGAAGTTTTTGATTGCTGGTTCGAGAGTGGAAGCATGCCTTATGCACAGGTCCATTATCCTTTTGAAAACAAAAGGGAGCTTGAAGATGCCTTCCCTGCTGACTTCATTGGTGAAGGCATTGACCAAACCCGAGGATGGTAATTTTCCTTCACATATTTTTGTCCTTACTCTATCTGGATGATCTGTTCATTTTGCGTAGTGAACAGTGTGATTCCTCCAGCCCCAGTAAAAAAGCAAAATGCTCTAATACTTGATGAGCAATGTTTTGTAGGAAGAAGGTCTGCTAGCAAATGGACTCAAAAACCTTCTGGACAGGGTGTTCTAGGTGAACCTCAACCGTCTGTAATTCTGTGAAGCAGAGAAGCAGTTGAATCAATTGAAATGGAAGCTGACGTTTCAGGAATTCAACATTTCAAGCTAGTATATACACTAGTAATTCTCACCTGACTAAATTTGAGTTTTGGTTTATAGCAGTGGGAAGAAGCCAAGTTTAAGTCAAAGATTGTGTTAGTGGTATCTTGTTATAGTTTATAAAAGCATTTTTTTAGCTGTCACCTTGCTTCTAAATTCTGGATGATTCTACTCACTGATTCCTCTGTGGATAAATGGTTTTTAATCATTAATCATTTTTGTTTAATTTCAGCTGTTCTCTGGATAATGTTTTCCTTTACCTATACAAAGTATATGTCTGTGTATACACACATGTATAGAATTACATAAAAATAATTTTAGATTTCTGGGATCTGTTCTATTTTTGAAGTTTGTGAGGTTGGCTGTGACGACAGATTTTTTAAGATTAATTCGTATGTTTGTTTTTTCTAGTTTTGGTAGGTTATTCTCAAGTAGGACTTATGTTTCTGTCAGGTAACTTGAATTACTAGTGTCAAGTAAACGAAATTCCTCTAACATGTAGTTAGCACCCCCTCCCCTGCCCAATCTCTAACCAAAGAGTGACAAAACACTAAATTTTGTACTTTGTTGCTGGAATGAGAGCAAGATTTGTGTGTACTGTCAAAACCAGCAGACTTGAGCAATAATCTGAGCAACACGTAAGCCCTAATCTTAAAGTAAGTTTCATGAATATAACAAAAGGCATCTTCATTTCACAGCACCTTACGATTGAAAAAATATCTAGCCCATCAAATCCAGTAAGTTACATGGGCAAGTTTGACAGTTAGGAAGCCTTCCAGTCTCGCTGGGTTAAACACAGGCTCCTCGTGGCCTATTAGACACTTTTGCAGAATACAGCTGCATTGTGGCTCTCTGTATAGTGCATGATATTCATGGTGCATCTCCAGCTTGGTACCTCAAAATTAGGACATCCTGGTAAATCTGCTGTAAATCTTCTATGACTTTTATTATCACAGTGACAAAATATTCAATCTGGGCTTTTACTCATATTTTCTTTTACGTTTTTGTAAAATTAATCTTTGTAAAACCACCTGTTTGCATTGAGCTTGAACTTTGTGCTTCCCACCAGCATATACCGCAGTTCTTGCCATGGTAGCCTTCAGTGCCAGTGGGAATTGCAGCCTTTGGGCCTTGCTGCCTTCAATTCTAGCTGTTTTAATCAGTGTTTTATGCTTGCTGCTTTTCAAGGAGTGCTGTATCCAGTATGTAGAGTGACCTCTGTGTTTCCTCATTTAGTTTCTTAGGTTTTCTTTAATGTTGCATTCACATGTTGATGCAGCATTGTTAATATGAGGAGAAGTTAGTTTACTGGATGTGTTATATAAAAAATTCAATTTTATATAGTAAATCGTCTCTGTCATCTCCAAGAGAAGTGATAGGTATTTTTTTTCCTCAGACTTTCTTGGGAGAAAAATCTGTGTGCTTTGCAGCAGCTGTGCTTTGGGGACTACAGGAAGCTACTGCAGTGTTAAAATAAAGAAGGAATGGAGGAAAATAGCAAAAACATTGTATACTTGTGATTTCATGCACTATTAATATCCTTTTGTGCAACGTGGATCATTTTGCCTATGAAAGCAGAATTCAAACCTTAGAAGAAAGCATTAAAAGAAGAAAAAATATGTTAAGGAATAAAAGTTCACTTGAGAGAAATGACAAATAAAAAATGATAAAGCCACATAAAATGATTAACAGCAGGCAAAAGGCCCAGTCAGAAGCTGATTTTTCTCCCTGCCTCAGACTATAAAGGGGAAATGATTATAATTTAGATGCCAAAAAATAAATACCAGTAAGAAATATTCTTACAATATGTAATCAAACTTAAAACATGGAGAACTACTAAATTGTAAAAATCAAACATGATTTAAAATTAACTGGGTATTATTTGGGTAAAAAATGTACTATTCCTGTTTGCAGTGAAATACAGAAGAGTTGTGGGGTTTTGGGTTTCAGGGTTTATGGCGGGCTCTGAGCCTGGGCTGGCGCGTGGGTCCCGCTGCGATGCCCCTTCCAGCGCCGTGAGGCAGGTGGGACGCAGGGCGGGTGAGGACGGGTCTGATCCCACCTGCTTCCAGGAGGAATCAGGAACCTCTGATTGCCACCAAATAGGCCTTTACAGAGGCGTTGTCATGATACTAACCTGAACTGCAGCCACTGCAATATCCAGCTCTGCTAAGCTATCACTTTCCCAGTTTACAAGTTGTTTTTTTCTGTAATAAGTAAGAAAAGTAACCTGGGGATTTCAGAGTAGCTGACAGTGACCTGTGAGCTGCTGCTGAGAAAGGCAGCTTCGCATTCCCTTCCTTAGCAAACTGAACTAGACCACTCTCTGATTCAGCTGAAATTTGATTCTGGGAGGGCGGGGGAAAAAAGTGATGATAATGCAAACGGATCCAAACTGATGATAACACAAGCTGAGACCGTGTTGTTGTGGGCGTATGTCCATGGGGCTTTATTACAAGCCCCATGGTTGGGTGCTGTAGGCTGTTCAGAAGTCTCACATTGCCCTAAGTCTATTCCTCTGTGATCATAGACTCATCTCTCATTTGTGGGTGAAACATCCAACCCCCTTCTTCAGTATGTGATCCCACTGTGCTCATGTCTGCTAAAGGTGCTGCGTTGGAGGCGTGGGGCTTGCTGGAGAGGTGCCTCTGTGAAAGAGGTCACGTTGGAGGGTGTGCAGAGAAAAGGAGAGAGAACGAAGAGGAAGAAGGATACAATTAAGCTCACCGCGGCGCTGAGCTAGGAGAGCGGCCTTGCAATGACCGTCCACATGGGTATGAGAAGGGCTGAATTACAGTCCTTCCCTCAGTGCCAGAGGGAGCAGTGGTGTAGTGGTTGCAGTGTGACAATGGCAGCATGAACAGATTGGTTGGAAAGGCCCAAAGGCCCCATCTCTGACTTCAAGCAGGAAGATGCGACAAGATTTATAGCCATGGTGAGGAAGTGATGATGTGCAAGGGATTCGCAGCTGAAGGCTGCTGGTGTGAATCTCAGCATGGTGGCGTTGCCCCGGTGCTTGAGAACAGAGAAGTTTGTGTGGGAGCCCTTCTCCTTGCAGGGACAGGAGGATAAGATGAGAAGTGGATCTCTGTTTGTCTTGCTGATTTTTTTTTTTTCTCTCTTGGCTGACAGCTATGGATCTGTGAGGATGTAGCTGAGAGGCAGGCTGAGATACGCTGGAGGAAGATGTAGCAGAAAGATAAATGTAGGAACTTGTCAGAAACAAATGTGTCTAGGGACAAGATATATGTGAAATTATGTGCCAGGAGTCAACCTATAAAAACGTTAGGGATGAATGAAGTCAATTTTCTGAAGGATGATATGAGAGGAGATCAGAAAAGAGCCATGTAGGCCAGCGGGTCACAGGGTTTCAATTTCAATCCAGTAGTTAGTCATCTTTGAGGTATCTCATAGCTGAGTTTCCCTTATTAGTTATCAGGTTTGACAATGCAAATATAATACAAATTATAAGAGGTTTTTGTATGTATTCTCACAGCATTCTCCGTCTATCTGTAAGAAATACATAATTCAAAAGTTACGCTTTTTTTTTTTAATAGAAAATCCACCTGTTGCAGTTGTTTGAGAAATGGCAACAGTTTGCAAAAACTGATATGGGTTTGTCAGTGGGTGCTCTCATGTGAAATACGGAAGTAATGCCGATTTGAAGGGGCTGTAAGGCTGTTAGGCTTGACATGTTGATGGTCTGAGAAAAAAAATGAGTTTTCGATGTCTTCTTGAAGGCTAAAAATGAAGATGGGAGTTTTGAGCACATGTGTATATGTGCGAGGGAAAGATATTGGTTAAAATTCATCAAATTACAAGATAACCTAATAACGGGCAATTGTATCCTGTAGTGTGAATTAAAGTAATTCTGAACGTTGAGATGCATCGGGGCTGCCACGCAAGCTGCTCTGTAAATGCAGAGCTGCTTCCTGGGCTGTGGATTCTCAGGTGGCCGCGAGATGTTTCCAGTTACAGACAGCTTTCTGGTAAAACTACTTTAGATTTTTTTTTTTTTTTAAAAAAAAAAGGTTCACCTGCATATTCTTGAGTGGTGTTCCACTACACATGCAACTGAGTAGTTCTGAGGCATAACCTCCCGTGCCTTAAGTCTAAATCAATTAGCTTTCATAAAATCATCTGCTGTTGTAAGATTGCTAAGCAATAGTCAGGGTGATAGCCTTGTTTAACTGAAAAAGCTGTGGCCTGATGCTGGTATTTGCTTTCTTTCTTGAAAATCCTTCTTGCTAGTGTAGCTGCAGAAGCTCCCAGACATCTCCTTTGGGAAGGTTCTTTCTTTGAGCGTGAAATTATCACATCATCTCGCACCTCCACTTAATTTCTCCAAATACAATCAGGTATTGACAGATTGAACAGTAGGTGCCTGTGCTTGTTCCAACACTAAATTCTCAAGTGCCCTAGATAGTTTACAGACTTCTGGTAAGCGCATCAAATAAGGTCTCCTTTTCTTCTTGTTAAACTACTGCCCCTTGCTGTGGGGAACCTGAGGAAGCAGCCAGTTTAGGCAGCTCAGTTTGATCCAGAGGAGGTGCTGCTCTTCTCTGGTAACTTGCCTCTGCTCTTAGCAGCATCTCTGTCATGTGCTCAGTTGAAAAATACAAGCATAAACAACAACAAAAAGGCCATGACATCCTGTTTTATCTTGTGTGTTATTGCTTGATTGTGTGTCCTGAGCTTTACAGTGAGCAGATAGGGAGCTTGCTTAGGGATAAAATATTCTTTTCTATATTAAAAGCTAAAAATGCTACAAATTTCTTAACAACTTTTCTTAATGCTTACTACTATAATGTATCAGGCATCTTGGGCTGATAGATCAACTTGAGCAAACTGCATGATAAACTACACAGAGGAAAAATATCTACATATAGTAAGATCCTCTTCTGAGTCTTTGCCCACGTAGATGTTTCAAATACTTACAGTTGAAATGTGTTAGAGTAAAACAAAAGAACCAAAATTCCAGTTATAATGAAGGATATGCCATTTTTAAGACATACTTTATATTTGTCCTTGTTTCAGGTTCTACACTTTGTTGGTGCTGTCCACTGCTCTTTTTGGAAAGCCTCCTTTCAAGAATGTAATTGTAAATGGCTTAGTTCTTGCCAGGTTTGTATATTAATCCTTTCCTAAACATGTTTTATGCAAATACGTAAATTGCAAATCAAATCTGTGATGGGCTTTGCATCTGATAAGGGAGGGTACCAGCTTTGCAGCAGGCAAGAGGCATCTGAGAGCATGACATATACATGTCCCAACTACATGATGTACTTGATGCAACAGACAGGAAGTTCTGCTTACTGAAATAATAATTAAAAAAAAAATGGAGTCAGTGTAGGAGGGCACAGAAAATAAATGATACCTGTTACGCAGAGTAAAGGGGGTAATTTATTTAAAGCTGCATCTAAAACAACATTCATAATTGTGTTTGTATATTTTTATTTTCATATTCTGCTTTGACAGCAGGTTGGAGAGAGGGGTTCAAAACAAAGGTGCTTTTCCCCTCTATTGTCTCCTAACTTATCTTGGGAAAAGACTGATTGATTTTGTCGCCTGAGTCTCTAGTGTTCAGGTGCTTTCATGGGTTCAAATCTCATACTGAAATGGTTTACTAGTATGTTATCAGGCCTTTGCTGCCAAGAACAGGTAAGACAGGAAAAGCTGAACTGATTTTGAAGGAGGGATTTTCTTCCTTCCCCATATATTACAAGAATTCTGGGTATTTACTTCTGCACTCTGGTATTTTCTAGTGATGGCCAAAAAATGAGCAAAAGGAAGAAGAATTACCCTGATCCAATGAACGTTGTAAATAGTTATGGAGCTGATGCACTAAGGTAAGATTTTTTTAAAAATTAATGTACAATCTAGTATGTAAGCTTTCTGTTCATAGCAAACACTTCTCAGAAGAACTACTTATGGATTTTCGACAATTAGCATTAGCAAGAAAGGTAATTTTAGAACCTTCTAGAGCCCAATGGCTGCCAAATACTGAAAGAGTGGATGACTCAGAGAACTGGCAGTAGTCACAGACACTTTGTGTCTTGCTTTCATCTTCCTTCAGCCTGGTTATGAGCAAATTTGAGCACTGCTTTAAGACTGTTTTTTTTTTTAAACACACACGAAAGAGAGAGAGAGAGAGAGAGACCAGTTGATGTAGAACAATTCTGCTCAAGCTGGTATTCTCTGGTATTGCAGTTAATAGTTACCAAGTTTGCCCAGTAAAAATTTAAATGAAATCTTTATGAAATCATTAAGTCCCAATCAAGCAGATTTAAGCCACAATTCTTGAGGTGTTTTGGTAAAATTGCAGGAGTGTGTAAATGTAAATATGCAATAGCCTGCTACTTGGGCTAGATGCCAAAAATCAGCATTTCGAGGTAAAGGTACGATACAGACATTAGTAACTGACCATGTGCAGCATTGGTGCCTTTCTGAAAAGCTGTGTAATTCTTGCTACAGAAGAAAAACACTGTATGGTTGGGCGTATTTAATAGTATGCTACAATATATGTAGTAATGTTTGGGCTGAGTGAACACTACGTTCATCTTACAAAGATGATACTTGCAGTGCTCTAGATCCTTTTTAAAAACAGAGTCCTTTATTTTTCAGGCCTTAGCATTTAATTGACATAGTAAGTATATCTGCTCATATATGTTTACAGCAGGGATTTGTGTGGACCTTTTATATTTGATCAAGATAGTTCTTTAATAGTAATTTAAGGTGTATTTAAGAGAATATCAGTGAATCTGTGGGTGAAGCAGTATGATTGAAAAGGATTGGAGTATTCTATGATTCATATTTGAGATTTTAAATCACAGGTGACATTTAATTTTTAAAAAAAATTAGATTGTTTGAAAAGGAGGAAAAAAAAAAAAAAACGAACTCAGGCACCAGAGGCTATGCTTCTGTTACTCACATTTTTATGATTAGAAAGTTAATTCATTTTTCTGCCTGTATACTCATTCTTTAATGTCACATTTATTTATACATACACCCACATGGAGAGTAAAAAGCATTACCGACTAGGTTCATTTATGGAAAGAGCTCTGCAATTCAGTTGTCTGTGCTTATTCACTGAAGCACTTGATGTGTTCTGTTTATAGCAAAAGCTACAATTGAATTTTCTTTCCTTGGCACTGCTTCCCTGCAGAGTTACTTTAGCTTTTGCAGAACCGTTTCTGAAGTATTTTAAAGTATCCTCAGCAGTAACTTGATAAACGGATCAGCAGAAAATCTACATGTAAGCTGCTTACAGGAATATGTAATTGAATGGAAAGGGCAGACAGAAAAAATAGCTTGATGGTCCAGTGAATTTAATCTCTCCAACTTCAGGCTTCCTCGGACTTGACTCCTGTGTGAGATTTGCGTGCATTTCCAAAAGTGGTTACGCTGTGATGCTCCTGGCGGCAGGGCCTCAGGTTGGGTAGGTGTCCAAGTTGAAGTCCGGTGGAAGGAGAGCCTTTGCCTGTCAGGCTGTTTAATGGGTCTTTCCTTTGCTGTGTTCTGAGCTTAAAAATAAGCGGTGTTAGACTTCTCTCAATGCATTCCTCAAATGCAGAACAAATAACATAATGCCACACGCTACTCACACACTACTGCTTTAGTCAGCTGAAAAGCAGGGATTTCCCTCACACACAAACACTGTATATTGGTATAGGTTGGTGATTCTGGTTTGATCTGAGGAAAATTTTAATTTCTGCTTGATGGGTTATATTACCAGGTTTTAACTGAAATGATAGGAATTTAATTTTATTTCTCTTACTCTCTTTTCAGAGTATTATTTCTCTTTCCATATAATAATTAGTATAAGCATCTTTGCATTGGAATGGTACCGGAATTGAATATGTTTTTAGGAATGGCCTATTTTAAGGCAGTGTATGTTTACTATGTGTTTTTAAGTCCTTGGAGAGCTACAGTTTTCTCTAGCTTCTTCTTAAGAGGTATCTTAGGGAGACTTCTGTTACTGGATTCTCCCAAGAGCTCTGCTGAGACGGCTGTGAGAGGTTTTATGGTTCTGAACATTTCCCACTTCTGCCTCCTGAGGAGGAAAACGACAGGGACAGTTTCAAGTCAGGTCAGGTGTTATTCCAATCCCAAATTTGTAAGAGGCCTGTGGTATCCTTAGTGCCACAACAGCTCTTGTGTTAAGACTGTAGTTATGATTTGTTTCAGAAGTCAAACATAAGTAATATCCACATGTACAATTAATTGAACAGGAGGTTTGATTTAAATATGCCATTACAAATCCGGGTTTAATTTAAAGACTTTATAGGTCTATATCATGCCTAGCCGTTCTGTGCTTTTGTACATTTGTAACCCAAAATCAGATGTCATTTTTAAAAATAGAGTTTTGAAGTACCGTTCTTAAAATGCTCATTTCTGTGCCATTTGTATTTGTGCATTTCTGTCTTTTTGCCCTGATAGCTGCATTTTTTTGTGCTCATGGCTGCAAGAAGCACTTTTCTCAAGAACTCATGGTCTCTTTTCCTTGAATGTGCTCTATCAGCCTACCTTGAGATTTTACAGCTTCTTAAAGATAAAAATACCCATAAAGATACGTTAGCTTAAAAAATGAGTTGTTAAATGAGTTAATCATTTTTATTGAGAAATGCTAAGATATTTAAATGGGAATTTTGTTTTTTTTCATACTTGGAAAGTTAAATCAAGTGTCGCTAAATTCAGTTCTGATTCAAGCTTTATATTATCTAAGATGTGGGATTTTTTGAGAATAGCAGATAGATAGCAGATTTTCTGCAGACAGAATATTTGTTTGAGGAGTAAGATGGGGTAATTTGCAAAGATGAACTTCTCTGTTAACTCAGTTAATTAGAAATAGCTGTGTCTTATAAGGTGATACGTATTCATGCCATTACATTGTAGGCTGGTACTGTGTGCAACTTTGCAATGGTTTATGCCTTCAAACTCCCGAATCACTTCTGAATTCCCCACTGCTCCCTGGCAGAAGGGGAGGCCTCTGTACCTGTTTTGAACAGACTCTCTCACTTTAGGTCTCAGTATGTTAGGTCCAGATTTTCTGGAAACGAGCTAAGCCTTAGTAGCTATACTGTGTAGATACAATCAGTATCAGATACAGTCAGATACAATCTGTAGGGTTAAGTTTAAGCTCTTATTTTTCTAGAAGGGTAGATGTTCAGGAGAAAACAGCAGATTAGTATGATTTGCCATGGCTCTAAAATTAGATGTATTGAAAAATAGTACTGTTGATCTTAAACAAATGGAATAAAGACCCTTTTTACAGGGAAGGCAAATTCATGTTCAGGGTCAGCCGCGAGGATCCCAGCAGGGATTTAACCCAGCCTGGAACATGTGTTTCAGCAGTTTCTTCTTTTCTTGATGCTGACGGACAAATTTAGATAAGGTCATTTTTAGCCGTGTCCTGGATATGAAGCTGAACAGCGAGTGAGAATACACCTGCCCTCGGTGTCCTTCCCGATGGCTTTGCCCCTGTGGCTGCGCTCAAGGACTTCAGCCTGTTCCTGTCACCACTGAATCGCATTAGCCATGGCCTGTGCAGCTGGCAGCGCTACCTGTCTTGGACAGGGAAATCAAGTTTTTCAGTCTCTATTAAAACAAGCAAAAGCAACCCAGCCAATTTTGTAAAGAAAAATAACTTTTTTACACTGTGTGGTGGAAGCTGCTAAAACCCAAATCACTAGGGTTCTCTTTCCTAAAGTCATAGAATCACAGAATGCTTAAGGTTGGAAGGGACCTCTAGGGATCATCTAGTCCAACCCCCCTGCACACGCAGGGTCACCTAGAGCACGTGGCACAGGGCTGTGTCCAGGCGGGCCTTGGAGATATCCAGAGACTGAAACTCCACAACCTCTTTGGGCAGCCTGTTCCAGTGTCACCCTCACTGCTAATACATTTTTCCTTAAGTTCCTGTGGAACTTTTGGTGTTTCAGTTTCTGGCCATTTCCTTTAGCGTGTCTGTTTTTAGGGAGTAATGTGTATGTTTTTAAGCCCAAAGAATATTACTCCAAGGCATGTTACAGGCTGGAGACGTGCCCCTCTCATGTGAGAAACTGTTAGTTTCAGGGAACCTGACCTGGGCAGGATCTTGGCACACAAGATGGTGTCAGTGAACACCCTAGGTAGAGGCCTACGTCATTCTGTAGGAGCCTGGTTCTAATAGCTCACGTCACCTGAGTCTTCTGCTTTGCTCTTTTGGAGCTACTTTTGGAGCTGAGGCGCATTTGTGTTTGTAGGAGATACATCTGTTTTTTTCTTCTTGAAGAACTTTTCTTAAGAACTTCTGTTTCTTAGAGTTTCACTGCAATTCGCCTTGCTCCTTTAGTCCTGTATTTGCAGTGTGCTTGAGCCTTCATAAAATTTGTGAAAGTAACTTGATTCAGAAGTGAAGAATCAGTAACTTTGAACTAGCGCTTCAGTTATTAAGGAGTACAAAACATTACCCAAGTAATAGGTGCCATTCCAAAGGTGAACCCTAACTCTTGTGTGTTTGTCACGTGTCCTGTTGCTATAGCATGCGGGCATGTGTTGTCGTGTCAGGCAGCTTTTAGACTAAAAATGAAAATCTACGTTCTGGTTCAACTCTTAACTGTAGTATTATAAAAATAATCCTCTAGTACTAGGTAGCTAACTGTCAAACGCTCGGTGCTACACGCTTGCAATATTGTCGTTTTTAGGATTTATGTCGTGAAACTTCTCCTTTATCATCATCTTCCAGTGCAGCTCTTAATTTGCAGCACTCTTAAGTGTTTTACTATTATATGCACTTTAAGTTTTTAAATGTTATATTGTTATTTTTCAGGTTATACCTTATCAATTCTCCTGTGGTAAGAGCAGAAAACTTGCGATTTAAAGAGGAAGGCGTGAGGGATGTCCTGAAGGATGTCTTCCTGCCCTGGTACAACGCCTACCGCTTCCTGATTCAGAACGTGCAGGTCCTGCAGCACAAGGTAGGCACTCAGGAGTGTCCGCAAGGGAATCGGAAGCTTTTTGTGCATTGGCCACTGTTGGGGTGAATTGTAATCACAGAGGAGTGCAGGTTTGAAGGGACCTGATCTGTTCGTGTATGCTTGCTGTTAATTTCTGCATTACCTGTGGTTTTCACTCTGCTTGATAGAGCTAATCGTAGTTTTCTTGACCAGCCTTGACAAATACGCAGGGAGGGAGGAGAAGGTAGGAAAGTGTTGAGGCACCAAAAACCTACCTTTCCCAGATCTTGCTGCCTGTGATCTTACTGCCTCCTTATTTCAGGCCAATTTGGTGCTAGTGTTCATCCTTTTGAAATAGGAGAGTAAAAGAGTGATTTGAATTTTGGGGCATCAGTAAGCTTGCGGAGCCTTGGTTTGCTTAGCTGCTGCTGGTCACATTTCTGGGAGAGCTGGTGGTGCCCTGGGTTGCTGCACTTCCAGGGCTAGGCATGTGTGAACGTGCATTTCTAATGTAAGAATCATTCTCTCCTATATTACGTAAGTATTGGGTCAAATAATCCAAATATGTTCTTAGTCTGAACTCTGAAGGTTTTTAAAATTGGGATAGTGTCCAATTAATGCCCTTCTGCTTCTCTCCCTCCAAATTGCTTTTCTGCCCTACAGAATCAGCAAAGTAGTATGAAGTTTCTCAGCTGGCTGTGGACTTCACTGTTCCAGCAAGTTACCAAGTGCACAAATTACACTTTGACTACCTAAAAAAAATCTGCTGTTTTCTCCTTCATTTGGGATTATTATTTTTTTGTTTTGTTTTAACCTAGTTAGTTTTGTTGAAATTGTCATGTGCTCTTAAGAAAATAACTGTATATTCTTTTGCCCTTTCCCCAGATAGAATTGATCTCTTAAAGTCAGTACCTTTCTCAAAAATGCTTCAGATGCTCCTAGATGAAAGGATTATGTGAAATCAGGCACCCTATGCCTGAGATTTGTGCTGCAAGCAGGGAGAGAAATGCTGCATACCCCTGTTGCTGTGCTGCTTTTTGTCTGCTTTAACAAATGCAAATCACTGGCCTTGCTGTAGTTGAAGGTATGGTGTGATGTGTTCAGGAGCAGCGTGAGACTGTTTCTCTTGCAGATGTGCTTCTGGAACTTAATATTCTCTCTTAGAAACCAGCACATTAGAGTGAGGGGAGCAAACTGTTACAGTAGATGACATGGTCTGGTATAGAATTTTTCGTATATACCTGTATGACCTGAAAACTTTTTTGTATTTTTTTGTTGATAGGATGAGGGAAGGGAATTCCTTTACAATGAAAGCACAGTTAAGGAGAGTAATAACATCATGGATAAATGGATTCTTTCTTTCACCCAATCACTCATTCAGTTCTTCAAAGCTGAAATGGCAGGTATGCGCATATACAAATGTGTGTTTATTGTTTTTTGTTTGTTTTTTAATTAGAGAAATAGGTATTTCATTTATAGATTTGCAGATTTCATGTGAGACTTACAGTTCAGGTAAAAGAAAGGAAAACTGTAACCTTAATACATAAAATACTGTTTTAATGAAGCCCCTGTATTTAGGGGTGAGAATCACCACTCATCTGGTGTGCTCAGTGGTGTAGCTTGTTGCTGTAGTAACATTTTCTGCAGTGCTTAAGACAACTTATGTCATTATTATAAAAGTAACTGAAAGAGAGCGGTAAAAATAAAGCCAAATGAAATTGAGGAAACCTGTAAAAGGGAGAAAATGTGGTGATCATAGCTAAATGAAGAATACAGAGAAGTGCACGGGCATAGGGAATGAGTGTTCACTTACACAGTTCCATGGAGAGAGTTTCTTTATAGTTATATTGGAACTGTGAGCAGCAGGATGGGACATCATTAGGATATTGGCCAGTTTTAGAAGGATACTTTAATGGTATATTTTCCTGCATGCTTTGCCTTTTTCATATTTTGTTACCTCTCAATACTCACATTAGGATAATTTAAGTTGTGAAATAGGAGGTGCAAGAGAAGAAGCCCCATACTACTTTAGTCTAGTCCAGAGAGCTTACAAGGTGAGATCATTTAAAAGCATCTCATTGAAGAGAAAGAATCATCAAGCTACCAGCAGGCATGCGGTGAGAACGGTCTCTTGTCAAAAGACACAGCTTCTTCCTAGGAGTTTGGAAGTTTGGAGTTGCGTGTTGAGTTTCATGTGTTGCCAACCAGAACTTTGTACGGCCTGTCCAGGGCAAAGCTAGATTCCTCATGAGAAAAATAGTCTGGAGGAAAGTGGAAGAATAATTTGTGAATTTGTGCATGAGTGTGGGGTTTAAACAGAAATAGTCTTCATAGCATTCATCAAATGAGTGACACATCTCACTTTGCAGTGAACAATATACGGAATTTTTTTTTTTTCAGTTTATCTTTCTCTATAAACTCTCTGAATAGTCAGGCAGGTGTTCAGGCAGTCAGGCAAGTATTAATGAGATAGTCATTTAATGTATTGCCTCGTGATAGTCTGCTATGCTAATTTAAAAAAAAAAAGTTTAGATTTGGATATATGTGTATCTATTTTGAACACAATTTCTACTTCATGTGACTTAAAGTAGGGAGAATGTCCTTTCCAGAAAGAGGCAAGGGAAGCTCACAGTGGCCACTGACAACCTCAAGAGCTGCACAGAGGAGATAATTAAATACAATGCACAAGCTTCATTTCAGAAGCTGAGATTTTTGCAAAGGCTGAATAAATGAATGCAGAAGCTGTTGTGGATGTGGCATGATGGAGGCAAAGCTCGATGACTGAGTTTATCAGCTAATGCCAAGCAACACTATCACCTGCAGGATGCATGAAATAGTTTGTTCTGTGCCACGTTGGCAAGGCCTGAGCTGGAGCATCACTGGTGGGGTTTGGGCACTATCCCCCCAGCAAATGGCTCCGTTTGTAATGATGTGCTGTGCGTGTACCCATGTGTATGATCAGGGCAAGAACATACAGGCCTGAAACCTGCAGTGCTGAGGAGGGATCAGGCAAGAAAATGTTGCAACTCAGCCTGGCTTCTTCCTCCTTACTAAAGTGCCTGTTATAATTCAATTCAATTTCACACCAATTGGTTGTCTCCAGAAAGTTGTTCACAAGTCTATTATTGCCAAGTTTGTTTCTGTTATGTCAAATTTATGTTAATTCTGCCCAGTTTCTACAAGCGGCTGAAATACCAGCAATATTTCAGCCTAAATAGAGTCCTTGAAGATTCCTGATGGTTTATTTTAGTTCTCCCTTAAATAGGGTGATCTTAGCATGCTCCAACTTCTGGACACTTCAGGCAGCCTAGAATAACATTGTGAAAGGTAGCTGTGTACCAAGACCTCTCTTGCGGTGGCTTGGGGGAAACTTCCCAGAACATGGGCAGTTAGAGGATGCGAGTCAGTTGAGATGATGCTCCTTTCTGTTACACGCTGTTCCTGGAAATTTGGCAAAACTTAAAACGTGTTTATATGCACAAACGTATATGATTCAAGAGAGGTTGGCTCATTTTGCTATTGTGTAGGTATCACCTGGTTTAACAGGTGCTGAATACTGCAGTGTAGAAACAGTCCCTTTAGAAGAGCTTGTATCTAGGTAGATGTGTGTGCACAAGTTTTTAAGCAGCATCTGATGCAGCTGACTTAGCTTTAGTTGATGTTAACATCCTTATTCAAATAGAATATTATTTCTTGAACAGTAGTACTGTGTGTTTTCTCCTCGAAACCTCAGCTTTCATGTTGGAAACATGTGTTGGGGGTATTAACTTAAATAGAGTGGTAAAATAATGGAGTTCTATTATGGAAAAATACGATGATAAACCATTCTTTATGTTTTGAAGAGGTGAAAATCTGTATTTAGAAACAGTAAGTCTTGCTATCGACCTTTTCCTACCTTATAGTATCTGCTATAGCATATAGTTTTACAAAAGCACATCTTGTAAATTGTGCACATTTTCCCATACATGCATGCCTCCTTCTCAAGTCAAAGCTACGATTTTTTAGTTTGGTTTATAAACTAGGAATTGAATGGAAAAAGTCATGTTTTCAGGCTATCTTGATCTCCTGTAAAAATATACTACTTTTACTTCTTGAGTGTTTTTTTTTTTTTTTTAACCATCCTTGTAACTAGATAATTCTTTACTAGAGCAGGCTTGGGAATCTTGCAGGAATACAGATTTCCACATGAATAATGTCTTTCCTACCATAGTGTAGATATTTTGACTTTCCTTTTTAGATTTAAATACTAGTGCTCTACATTTAAAGGTATTTCTTTTTTATAAAATGCAGTGAAAAGTGTAATGAAACTTCGAAGACATACCTCACTTTTCAGTAGCTGACTTAAGTGAGGAACTTGATGCAGAAAGAAAGTGTTACCTCCACTAAAGTGTTTTTCCTTCTAGCCTACAGGCTGTACACTGTAGTCCCTCGACTAGTGAAGTTTGTTGATATTCTGACCAACTGGTATGTTAGAATGAATCGCAGAAGGTTAAAGGTATGTATCTAATTCCATGGTGTGCTGTAAACAAAATCTAAGTCATCTGTGCCAATTTAAACCATAGCAGCTACATGGTGCTATTTAAAATCTTTATGCTGTGTTTTTTCAGATGATCAGTTTGTAAGTGGTAGCAGAGATGAAATGAACCTATGTGTGTGCAAAGCGTTTTTTTCTTTGGTTTTCTTCATAAACAAAATGCAGAATTGCTCAGTTTCAGTTGCTTGATGGGACTGAGCAATAAAGGATGCAGTTCAGAAAACCAGTTTATTGAATTGAGATTTGATATCTTGAATGTTTATGAAAGTACAAATGTTTGAGTGCATTTTAAAAAAAAAATATAGTTAACTTTTTTTTCTCCTTCATCTTCTGTAATGCGGTGAATGTTTTGAAAAGGGTGAGAATGGGACTGAAGACTGCATTATGGCTTTGGAAACATTGTTTAGTGTCTTATACTCCATGTGCAGACTTATGGTAAGGAATTTACAGTAAATCGCAATTATTTGACATTTTTAGCATAGTGAATCTAAAAGCATGCATCTCTGTTTCCTACATAAACTAGGAACCCAGAGGCTGGATGGGGAGGATGGATGTGCCATTATTGCTCTGTGCAGCATAATTCACTTTTCCACTCCTTTATTTGCTTGTCCATGGCACTGTAAAGAATGCAGATAGTACCTCACTTAAAAAGAGATATTGGGATTTCTTATCTGATGCCCAGAGTACAGGTGAAGCTCCCAAACAAGGTGAATAAGTAGTACCAGTTTCACCACATATTGTAGTCAACATTTTGGATAAAATCAGTTCTGTGTTGAGGACCTTGTGTAGGCATTTCGTTCTTCCTGACCTGTCCTCACGCAGTTCATAAGCGTTGCTAGTTCATAGTGTACAAACAATAAAGAAACACTAGTGAATGAATGACTGCAATGTTACAGGCACCATATACTCCATTCATCACTGAACTGATGTATCAGAATCTGAGGACGCTCATTGATCCAGGCTCAGTTCAGGAAAAGAACACCGAAAGCATCCACTACCTCATGCTTCCCCAAGTGAGGTAAGAAACAACTGCTGCATGGCAAAATTGTTTCTTTTTCTTGAATTTGTTTCTTTTCTGTTTTGTTTTGTTTTCTTTGACAAGTCCTCTGTCCAGTCAGGGGAGACTTCAGTATTACAATAGTCGCTTGATCAAGCTGCTCTTTTAAATTAAGTTCGTGTGTGCATTTAAGTCTGCTATTAGTCACTAAATACAAGGAAAGCATGTTTTTTTCCTTTTTGCATTTCCAGTCAATCTGAAAACCCTCAAGGACAAGAGCTAACCTTGATATTTCAGATGTCAGGCTAAGAATTTAAGCATTCTAGTAATGTTTCTTTCATGGATACTATATCCTTTGAGCACAGTGTATGTTCTTTCAGATGACTGCAAAATGTAGTTAGCGGAGAGGGTTATTGTGATAAGGAGTCTGAGATTGGCATAATGATAGTGCTGATTTTCTGATCCCTAGGAGCATGCTGTAAAGAATATGTAATCAAAGAATGTAAAACACATCAGTTAGTTATCAGAAATGCTTTTGAGCTCCTGTAATATGGACTAATGGAAGATGTTGAGCTCTTTGTGGGAACTCAGTTCAGGCACAAAGTTATCGTAGGGCTTGCAAAGTGGCTTGGGCACTTGCTTGTTCCTGTTAGTGCCGAGTGACTCGCTGCTGCGTCGTGCACGTCGGCTGCATTGGAGTGCCTTTCTGCTCTTTCTGCTACTTAGGTTGGCTTTTTGGTACTACTAGTTTGTGTAAATTACTGGTCCCTTATGTTTTTTTTCTTTTTTTTTTTTTTTTCCTCCATCCATCAGGTACGAAAGCATGTTCTCAAAATTAAGTTATTGTTCAAGATTTACAGTTTGACCTTTAGATGCTAAGCACATAATTGCATTTTTTTCTTTGAATGTTTTTTATGACTGCATAAAGACAGTATTGTTGGTTAATACTAGAGCCATTAGGCTATAGGAAATAGTATTTTAACCTCTAATAATACACACGGAGCTATATATTAGTAGCCATAATTACCAAGCTAACAAACTTTGCCAGTTTTACAGCTACATGTGATTCCATACTTATTTTACAACCCCCGGTGAGGTCTTGTGTGGTTGCCTAGTGTCTGAACAGATTGATTGCATTAAATTCTGTGAATATGCTTGAAATCCAAAAAAGCTGCTCTCGCTTTGTGGTTTCACAATGATGCTGAGTAATGGCAAGAGATATTGAAATGATGCAATGTTGTTATGTGACCTTTTACAAGTGCAAGACTCCCCATAGCACAATTTGCAGACCTCAGGATTCTTCTCAAAGAACCATCTTGGAGACTGGCTTTGAGAAGAATAGAAGCTGAAGATAAGCACTAATATTTTATTGGAAGCCCTGGTGCAGGAGACGTGGGCATTCCAGGTGTATTTTCTGTACTGCTTTGCCAATTTTGTTTTTCCAGCTAATCCTTGACAGCATTGTTTTCATCCCAATACCATTTCCACTTACAAAACAGCCAACAACTTTGTTTTGTTCATCAGTGTCTTTTAAACCAGTCCATCCTGTCTGGATATGATGCTTGATATATACAGTTTTAAAGGATCTGCCTGAATTATACAATTATTTAAGAAAGCAGGAAAACCTCAGAACCTTTTCAGAACTATTGGCTGCTTGTACATTTGAAGCAAGATGTGCATGTCAGTTTATGTAAAAAATAAAAATAATTTTAAAAAAGGCAAGCTGCCTCAGAATGGAAGGGTGTTAAAATAATGAAGCCAGAAAAAATGATGAAGCCAGGAACGATGACAGGGCTGTCTAAAACATCAAGTTAAAATATGTAGGATTCCTAGAAAAGATTATAAATTGAGATCCGGCAAGTTGGCTGCATATTTTTTATCATTATAAATATCCTATTTATAATCTCTTTTGCATCTCCGCATATTATTAATGTAAATTTTATTTTTCATTAGATATTAATAAAGTAGGTAGTATGACTCAGACCATCATTATCTTGTGTGCAGTGCTAATAAAAGATGATTTAAAAATAGCTCTCCTTTTTGTTTTGGAGCAAATTCATTCTCCATGCTCTTTTTCCCACAGAGAGGAAAAAAACATGTTTGTTCATTTTTCACTTTACCCTAAGCAGGGTGTAATCCAGTCTCTTGGAAATTCCTGTGAGATGGGGCAAAATGCTTTAAATCTGCTTGCAAAGACTCAAAGAAGATGAACCAATGTAATGTTTCCTTTTCAATCTAGGGAGGATCTGATCGACAAAAAAATTGAAAGTGCCGTTTCTTGCTTGCAGTCTGTCATTGAGCTCGGACGAGTAATTCGAGATAGAAAAACCATACCAGTAAAGGTTAGAACTCCTTAACACCACTTCCCAAGAACTTGTGAATGTGCAATAGCTGTGTAACTTTGGGATAAGTCTGGAAAAAAGCTCCTCTTTTCTATTGCAAGCAGAAAACAGCCTCTTTCCTTTCTCTTCCCTCCCCAGTATCCTCTGAAAGAAGTAGTTGTTATCCACCAGGATCCAGAGGCTCTGGAAAACATCAGGTCTTTGGAGAAATACATCCTTGAGGTAAGAACATAGTGAAGATGGCACATTATCTATGCAAGTCAGGTACCCTTAGAAGACAAGCAAACAAAAGTCTGTAACCTTCCCTATTGTCTTTATTAATAACTCACTAAGTAAAATTAATTAAAATTTATAATGGAAGGGGTGTGAATGAGAATTATGTGCAGAAATAATGGTGAATGGGCGATGATTTTAAAGTAGTCACTTGTAGTACTAAAAGATAATTAATCTTTCAAAGTGACCATTTGTTAACAACTGAAGACTTTGTTAATAACTGAGAGGTCATTTGAAGTGTTTTTGTCCTTATCGAGAAAAAAGCACATTTTCTGAATGAAAATAAGACAATATTAACTATATGTTTGTCAAAAACAGATAAATTGTGAAACACCTAATCTCTTTTAAAGGGCATTAAAAAATGATCACTTGACTCTAAGCAGAGGAGTTGATTTTTGAGAACCCAAGTAAGGGAGAGAAGGGAACAATTTTTGCAAGTGTTGTTTAGGAAATAACATGTCAACTGGATAAGATCTTAGTCTTTTACTCTCTTTAATGTTTACCCATTAGAGAAATGCAGCCTGCCCTACTTTCAAATCTTTCTTAGCATAAAAGTGCTGCCATTCAAAAGAAAAGTAGCCCTTCTTATTTTCTGAGCTGACTTTCTGTAAACTGATTCAGCGTTCAGCTTTTAGTCAGTCTTTTAAAAATTGGTAGTATTTTAAGTGAGATGAAAAAGGAGTTTGTTTATAAACAAGTTAATTTAATTTATTTATATGTTATAAATCTTTTAAAACTGCAGTACCATCTTGAGGAAGTTGTGTTACGAACATGAAGCCTGTTTTGATTGCTTTAAAATGCTGTTTTTTCTTGGACAAATTTCATTACAAGTACCAGAGCTTTTTTTTCTTTCACATCTGTGATGTACAAGAGGACATCAAACAGTGGTGGAAAAAGGGAACAGTGTTTTAACTACAGTAACAAATATAATAGATGAGCCTGGTGTAAATCCTTAATAAGGGTAGGGCAGAAGCCATGTTAGCCTTTCAATTTTTTATAGTTTTTGGTGCTTTCAAAACATCTTGTAAATCAATGGTTGTTAGTAGTCAAATCTGTCATTTGACTATGGCGTTTGAAATCATGGCGTCTGTATAATTTTCAAGACGCTCCAATGTTTCAGGATGTACCACTGTTGCTTGGGGAGCTGGGCCAAGACTTGCAATGCTGCAGCTGTCAGTCAGTTCTGCAGCACGTTGATGTGAATCTCCGCATCCTTCCAGTGGCTCTGTAAACATTAAGAGCCCCCAGCTCCGGGCAGTGTGACGGACGGAGCCTGTGGGATCGCAGGGGACGGCGCTCCGCACGCGTGCTGAGTTTGAGAGTAGAGGGGCTCTGTGCCCGTGGGCAGCGCTGGGGTTCAGTGTTACGCAGGTTGCAGGCGATAAACCAAAATGCTGTTTCTTTCTGTTACTCATAATGTGCAGTACATTTGCTGTTCAGACAGCATGAAGCATAGGAGTTTGCTGTGTGTTTTCAAGTTTGGCATTGTATGATGGTCAGGGTGAAGGTTATTTATTTGTTTTTAATGATGAATTCTAGTGTTCTTAGGTGATGAGGAATGTTTTGTAACTCAGAGCATCAGAAGCAGCCTTAGTGGTTTAGACTAATGGCTCACTTAGCAGTACACGCTGTGTCCTGCAACAGCAGAGCCTGTTCAGGGAGGGTGTGAGGGCCTGGCTGCTCCTTGCAGTACAGTTCTCTCACAGCTGGCTGTCTGCAGTGACTGCACTCAAAGGTGTTCAAGGGCAAGTCCTTGCCTGCTCCCTGTAATACATTTTTGTGTGCCTGTTATCGTGAGTTTGATTAATTCCTTTTGAACTTGCTGATATGCACTCTCTGCCTCTTGCGGCACTAGCTTCCAAGGAAACTATTTGGGTATCTGTTTTTAAACCAATGTCCTACTGCTTTCACTGCACGCTCCCTAGTTTGGAGTGTATTTAGGGAATTTGGTGGACATTCTTTGCCCACTGCCTTCATAACTTTCCAAACCTCAAACATATTCCCCTACAACCTTCTGCTCACTAAAGAGCATCAACATTTCTGGTCTCCTCCGCTATATCACTGGCTTTTCTATAGCACGGCTGAGTTCACCTTCAATTACGGGGAGAAAAGCAGCATGCATTGCTGAGATAGGGGTACACCCAGGTTTTGAGGTAGTGGCAAGATGATACCCTTAGGCCTAGGACTCTGGTGAAGATAGTGAAGGGCTTAACCTTGTTTGGCTGCCACCACAAACTGAATTATCTTCTCAATTCTGGCATGGTGCAGCACAGAATGAGGCTTGTGTTGTATAGGAATCTGACTTGAGTTGGGAGCCAATAACTGTTTACTGATGAATGAGAAATCTTGACCTAAAGGCTGAAGATCAGAATGGGATGTTCTTTTAAAGAAAATTGAAGTGCTGGTTTAGTCTGTGTTGACAAATTACTGTTCATTAGGGCAACCGTATAGAAAACTGGCAGCTTGAGTGTTTTGACTACCCTTTCTTGTACTCCTCAACAGTTGTCACTGTGATGGCTGTTCTTCAGCTTTGTTATTTTTTATTGGTATGTTTACATAGGAGCTTAATGTACGTCAAGTGACATTATCCACTGATAAAGATAAATACGGAATCCGGCTGAGAGCAGAACCGGATCACATGGTGCTCGGGAAGCGTTTGAAAGGTGCCTTTAAGCTGGTCATGGCTGCAATCAAGGAGCTGAAGAGTGAGCAGCTGGAGAAATTCCAGGAGACAGGTAGGTGGTGGCACAAACCACCAAGTGATGGCAATGGTGACCTGACGAAGAGCCAAAGGATTTGGAATCTATAAGAAGAATTCTGTAGTTATTCTTAATTTGTGTATGTTAAGCATTTATGGAAACAGATGCAAAATTACTTTTCCATGGACTTCAGGGAACTTGAAGCCTATTTCCCATTTGCCATCCCAATTAAATTTGATGTTAATGAGAATAGAAGAAAAAGGGTTGGTTTCTTTCTTTCTTTTGTAGTTTTCTCAGCAGTAGAATGAAAGTGATCAGATATTGTATACTTCCTCTGTTCTGTTGAGGCACTCTCATAAGTACAAAATGGAATAAAAAATAAGAAGTTCCCTAAGACTAAGTCAAATTCAAACTGAGTATACCTGTGACAGTTTCTGTTCTAGAGGTGTTTTTTCAGTTGCAGTGTTGTGTGGTTGAGGGCATCAATTTTCTAGGTATATCTGTTTGTTAGCTGCTAGAACATAACATTTTGACTTGAATTCAATATGCAGGTTATTTTTATATTTTACTCAGTTTCATTCTGTTGCTTGTGGGTGTATAGCAAATCTGAATTTGGAATAGTTTGGTGTTTCTTACCGGTGTTTAATTGCTGTTTAGCTGTATTGCACATGTAGTGTGTTCCCTATATTTGAAGTTTGTTTCTTGTTTTATGCTTCTTTGGAAAAGTATTTGCGTGTTTGTATAAAGGAAGTTCATCACTTGTTATTTTGCAGGCAGCATTGTTGTGGAAGGACATGAGTTGCATGCGGAAGATCTTCGTCTCATGTATACTTTTGATCAGGTTGCTGGAGGATCTGCCCAGTTTGAGGCACATTCTGATGCTCAGGTATTTTACTGGTTGTTTCTCATGTTTTAAGGGAAGTATTTTACTAGAAGCAAAATGAAAACTTCGAAGTGGAAGCTGGGGTAGTTTTCTTTGGTCTTTAAAGAACAAAGAGCAAATATGGTAAGCAAATATGATAAGCCTATCTTTTAGATTTTTGAGTAGTTAAAGCACTCTCTTGCTGTCTTCAATATGACCTAACAAAGTGATTCTATTAAAAACATAACTGTGCCTGGGAGTGAATTAATACGGGCTAATTTAAATTTGTCATCTGTTCAACTGTCTTTTGTCCATTACCTCAGGTTTTAGTTCTGCTAGATGTTACCCCGGACCAGTCGATGGTGGATGAAGGAGTTGCCCGGGAAGTGATTAATCGAATTCAGAAGCTTCGCAAAAAGGTTAGGAAACAGTGGAAAAAAACTTTATTTTTAGTGAGTTTTTGGACAATATGTGCAGGGAACTAACCTTAACTGAAACGTGAGACTCTATATCATTTATTCTCATGTGTGGCATTCTGATCTGACATAAATGGCTATTTTCATTATAAACTTCTGTTTTCTTAAGTAGCTAGAGTTGGACCATGAGCTTATGTCATGATTCGACATCATCCATAGTGAATTAACTTTTTTTTTTGATGTTTCTTTTGTGCCAAGAACCTCATATTTTCTTTCCGTCCTCATAAGAGTGGTTCAGTCTCAGTTAACCAGCTCTCATGCATGCCTTTCCTCCTGCCAGGTATTATGTTCTGCCTCATTTTCTGTGTGTGGTATCAGCTGGGTTGGTGAGCACACAGACATCTGAACCTATGGCTCTAAAAGCAGCAAACTTCTATGAGGCATTTCTGGCACCACTTGTATGTCAACATTAATGATTTGACTCTTAAGTTTCTCTCATCATGTGTATGAGTGATGCTATTTTATGTTTATGCTAAGGCACTTTGAAGCATTGTAACTTCCTTCTCTCTAAACCAGAACGAGCTGCACTGGGTATCTGCACTTTGCGCCAGTGAAGCAGGGAGGTGATGACAGTTTTGCTGCTCGGTTAACTTGTTGACCGTGATAGGCCAGAACTTGCATCTTATACTTGCCAGAGCTCTTTGTAGTATGTAGAGACAATTTCCTTGGGCCTTGATTTTGGGAAAAGATTTTTTTTTTTTTAAACAGTAAAGACTGCATAAATCTTCAGTAAGAGCATGTATAAAAAATTACAAACTCATATCAATACTTGATAGAATAAAAACAGGAAGGTAAATTATGTAATCGCCTGGATGAGAGTGTACCTACATTACTGGATGAATTAAATTTACTTCTGTGGTGACAGTCAAAATTTATTCTAATTTAAAAAAAAGTCAGAACACAGTTTTCAGTCTTGGCTATTTATTTATTAACTTATGTTGCTAAAATGCATTTATTCTGTTGTTCTTTCTTTCCTGTTCCTGGTAGCTAAGTGTACAAGGCGGGGAGGGGGAAACAGGTGCTTCATGTGCAATAATAATCGCTGAGATGACACTTGTATAATCAGTATTTTTAGCAGATTTGGAAAATAGTTATCTGTGTGCAGTTATTTTGACTTTTTTTATCCTTGTAGCCGTTTTCTTGCTAAAGTAGTATTCTGATTTAATTCAGTACCAATAAGTGTACCTTTCAGATTATGACTTTTCTGAAATATTTGTCAGTATATGAGATAAATAGTATGAAAACAAGAAAAATCTGGTGACCATCTTCAAAAGTGCCATCAAACTATCTTGAAGACTGTCTTATGTTGAGCAGTTCTTCAATAATGGCCAGAACTGAGGGGTTAATTTTGAGCTAAGAGATTATGAAAATTTTGTTTAAAAAAGAGTTTGACTGACTTTCAGTTCTTTAGGGGGGTGAGTTGATAATGAATTTGAAACATCCTCAATACAGTCAGTTTTTCTGTCAATGCCTTTTCAAAAAAAAAACTTGTAACATTTGAAGCCTCTCTTGCTTGTCTGGCAGAGGAATCATCTGTTCTAGCATTCGTATGGAGGCTTATAACAAATGTCTGGTTCATGTCTTTCTGAGATTCAAAAAAAGCCTGGCAAGTATCTTTCTTGGACTTTGTCTGAGCAGATTCATCTTATTGTCATTACTAATACTTTTGGTCTGTCCCTCAGCGAAATCTGGTTCCTACAGATGAGATTACCGTGTACTACAGATCGAATCCGGAAGGTGACTACTTGGACACTGTTATTAAGGAGCACACAGATTTCATTTTTGCAACAGTGAAGGCTGCCCTGAAGCCGTACCCAGTACCTACCTCAAAAGAAGTTCTCATCCAGGAGACAACACAAGTAAGAAAGGGAAAACATTGATCGTATGTTTCATTTTGTCGTCTGCTTTTAACTGAGCAAGACACTTGAATTACAGAAAATGTGTATGCCAGTAATTTATTCATGGGAATATTATCAAATTTATGGTTTTCCATGTTCATCTTTTTGGTTTAAAAAGAAAATAGTTGGGCTCTGTGTCTGTTGTCTTCGTAAGTGAAGACTTAAGGGTGCCAAAATTTTGGTGGCATTTGGGGACATTGACACAAGCAGTCCCTATCTAAGTTTGAGAGCTTGGATGTTTTTTTGTACTTGATTTGATCCTCTCTTGGACTGCAAAAATAAAGTTGCTTTAGTTTCTATACTTTAATGTACTTCTGTGTTAGAAAAGTTGTTTGATATTTTTTTTAAGCTTGCCTTTTCCTGTATTTCTAAAATTCAATCTTTCGTAATGCTACAGTTTTTTCCCAGATTTTACAGATACCCTTTCAGCACTTTATTTGAATCGTTTTGGTTTTCTTTGGCTGTTCTGATGTTTCGGCAATACTTTTGCCTTCATTTTACATAAACTTGACATATTCAAAAGGCACTTCTATCAGAATCATGGATGAAATGGACTCTCCCCACTAAATGACATGCTAAACCAGGAAGTAATTTGCCAATCTGAAATACAGAATGGCTTGCCTGGGAATAGCTGAAAAGAAAAGATAGGTGCCACCCATTTTGCTAACAAGTATGTGTAAGGAAATATTTTAAACTTTTTAATGGAGTACAAATTTGATACAAACTGTGCGTGTTTGACCTTTTCCGAGACTAATATTTCACTTGGTGATAATCACATGAGAGAAAAACCTTACATAAAAGTGGAGAACATTATGCTTGAAGGATTGGAGCCAAAATTTTGTTTTTTCTTCTCAGTACTTATGTGAGTGATTGTGAAGAGTATAAACCTAGATGATGCTGGTGGACAGTTTGATGTCAGTGTTAATTCTGCATTAGAATGTAGAACAGCTGGAAAAAAATGAAATTAATGTGGATGAAATCATGTACTTAAGTGATTATCTACAGATGGTTGGGAAAATGAAAGAAGACATTAATTTAAAATGGTTTCTGTAACGTGATTATTTGTCCTTGTTTTTTATTTTTCTTGATTTTTGATTTAAATATACCAATATAAACATGTATAACTATATATATTTATACATAAATAAACTATTTGTATGTATATAAATACAAAAGTGCCCAACACACATACGTGTATGCGTGCATATATATATATTTTTTTTAGAGGCAGGAAGTCAGACTTTTTTTCCCCTTAGTGCCATACAATGTTGTGAACTTTCCCTAGTGCAGTACCGGGAAAATGCTTGTTTTTATAGCCTGATGCTGACCTAGTTGCATAGTGTATTGAACTGAATGCTCACTGCCTTTTTCTGTGAATACTTTCATATATATGCAAATATGGTTTTCTACCTCTCCTCTGTTTTGAAAACTTAATTAATCAGAATCTAGTGAACAAAATCATTTCGTGCAAAGGTAAGAGATGAGTTGGTTGCGTTTGTTTTAAATGATGCTGTCTGTGTAGTAAGCTCTTCCCCTGACAGATGGTGCTAGTTATTACTGACGTAATTGGTAGCAGTTGTCTGGCTGTCCGCAAACCCAGACATGGGCTCAGGTCGTGGAATTACGAGCTAGTCAGTGACAGGAGCTGTGTGGCTCAGGCCAGGAACTTGCACAAAGGTACGATTTCAGACTGGGCTTTTGCAAATAATGAGTAAGTTTATAGTTTAATGTCACAGAGCTCATATGCCTCTGCTGTGTTAGGCAGATATTTAGGATGTAAAATAGAGGTGGCAGATGGAATCAGATCACTGAGGTTTTGGTGCAATTTTCAAGTCTTCCCCTCACTTAGGGGACTGCAGAGATTTAGTGCCGAGGACAGATGTTTGGCTCTGCGTGCTCTGCTCTGATGCAGCTCTCCTGTCACATCAGTGCCAGCTAATACAAACATCTGAAATGAAAAAGCCCTTCTGGAGAAGTCCTTTTGGTGCAGAAATTAGCCATTTGTGGTTCATTAAGCATAGATGCGGTTAGGAACAATTCACTTGTAGCCTGGTGCATCAGACCGGGCGACCGCTCGTCCCCTTCCCTGATCGGCCTCCCAGCTGCAGATGCGCTTCGGTGCTGGCAGCCCTGGCACAAACGCTCTGAACGTGGGGATTGAAGCCGGATTGTGCTCAGGCTCGCTGCGCCGAGGCGGCGCGAGGAGCAGCGTTCACAAGGGAAATGCTTTATGGATGGTGGAGATGTAAAAGCAGGCACAAGATCCAAGTGTGCAATTCCAGCTTGCAGAATCTTTGCACCAAAATTCTGAAAACAATCAAAAGGAAGAAGAGGTCATGGTGATGCTAATACACCTGAACACTGAGGGGAAAACTTTGTCTTGTGGAAATAATTTGAATGTGGTCGGGCTGTATCAATATCTTCATGTGAGTTATTAATCAATGTCATTTAGTAATCAATATCCTCATGCAATTTATTTCAGGAAGGCATTTGGGTTATTTTTAAATGAGAATATTTAAGTAATCAGTGTTTTCCTTAATATTTTTTAGCTGAAAGGATCAGAACTAGAAATAACACTGGTCAGAGGTGGTTTGTGTCACTCTGCTGGTCCAGCCTGCGCCTATGTCAACCTTAAAGTTTGCGTTAACGGAGCAGAGCAAGGTAGGGATGTCATTTTTGGTTTGTCAGTGGTCATCTAGAAATAAGACTTTTCACAAAATTCAGCCATGAAGAGTGGAGTCAAGAGATTTCTTGAAAGATGTATGAGCTCCTGTCCAGTAATAGCTTTAAATAGCTCTTTGTAATACATCCATAAAAAAGCAAGAATACATGTTTTCGCGTGCAGACCTGATGAAAATATTGTGTGTGCACTTCTGTTATTTTCCTATATGCCCTCAAAGGGGTTTTGATGTGTATATTTATATATATACTTATGCATTCATCTACGTAGAGAGTATATATGGGGAAAATTTCTAGTATGTAGTGTAATGCTTTCTGGGAATGCTTTTTTGTAAGGGGAAAAAACAAGTGCTGTTTACTGTATAAAACTAAATAGCTAAAGGAGAAAATCTAATTACTTTTTTGAAAACTCAAAAATACTTTCCTTAACTGACCGCAATGATATTCTTAAGTGTATTACATGGTTGTGTTTTACATTAAAAGAAGACGAACATAAATGCACTCTAGCAAGATACTTTTCTAGATGTATTTGCAGTTTGAATGTCAAAAGAAGCATGTTTTGTTTAATATGACTGCAAAGCTATTTACCCAGTTATAGTGAAGTTACCTAAATAATTATGCTTGTGATCTTAGTGCAGTCTGCCATCTTTAAATTGATGCAATACTGGATAATTAACTAAATAAAGTAGTTCAGTGACATAGTAATTTGAGAGCTTTGTTAACAAAACAATTATTATTTCCATTATGCTTAATCTGCAATAATAAGTTTGCTATTTTGCTGTTTTATTCCCTCTTTCCCTTTCCTACTACAGAAATTTCTGGAAATATGTCATATCACCAGTTTTATTTTAACTTAAGTTACTGAAAGTCATTAGAACAACCTGTTAGAAAAACTCAGACATTGCTTTCATGTTGTGTGGTAATTTCTTAATTTTGGTTTTAGATGGCGTTTTGCTGCTGGAGAATCCAAAAGGAGATAATACCTTGAACTTCCCTAGGCTTGTAGATGCCGTGTCCTGTATTTTTGGTCTTCAGAATTCAAAACTGACAATTTTTAATGGAAAAACAGGTAAGTGGGGTATGTTAATAAAAATTGAAAGTCCTTTTAGCAGTAGGTATGAGTTAGGTAATTTAGTGTATATATATTTTTTCTATAGGTATACAAAATTGCCAAGAAAATAGATAAGAAAATACTTTATTTTCTAGTACATGGTTTATTAGAATGTGTTTATAGCCACATAGAAATGTTTTCAAAAGCGGCTGATAAAGGATGCTATCTTCTCTTATTTTATTTCCATCTCAGATCAAGCTGTGTCCTGTTGAGAACTGAACAATTTCAAAAAGCATTTCTACTAGTTCCTGGCCATACTATTTATTAATGGCAAGTTGCCATCAGCTTCTGCATGATTTTTGTTTTTCCTAATGCATCATTGGGCAGGGTAAGAAGTTAAAATTGTATGCAAGCAGATTCCTCTGTGGAAAGCAAAAAATTTTGTTTTTCACTGTAGAGAAGTTTGAGAATTTCTCCAATTCTTCCATTTAGGAAAATCTATCAGAATATTTTTGTGGCATGAGTTTGTGTTCTGCTAATAAATGAAAACATGAACTATGTTCCATGAGTTATATATAGAGTCATAATTTGGGTTCATTACAAAGATAAAATAGCTGATTCAAGAGAAGCAAAATGTTATGAAAAATGCTGCAATTAGTGACCAAGAGACCTTAGCAGCAAGCTGGCTTGCTTTCTTCCAAGATGGAGATTCTGGTTTATTATTACATTACATATAATATTCTGATATATTAGCAAAAATGACATCTTAAAAAGCAGTATATTAAGAACAAGATTACCCTAGTAATCAAATGACTTAATGAATACAAAAGTAGTGACCATGCCATGATGTGACTTCAGAGCTGTTTCAGCAGTGATCATTTTTTGTTGTTAGGGTTATTTACAGGTCCATTTTGAAGCTCAAATATTGTTTGCCTGTTTCCATACATTCTAGTCTAAAATGAGCAACAAAAGCAAAGTGTAAAATAGTGCCAAAAATGGAGTTTTGTGGCTATAGAAGCCTTTGTTAGTGTATTTTCAAAGAAATGTTTCTGAAGCAATATTTAGAAGGGTGGTTACCTTTATTGTTGGGTGTCTGTGCTGGGATGGCTACAGAGCTACCAAGGAGCACCAGTCCATGCCCCTTTATGGTATGATAGGGGGATTTTTGTTTTTTTTTTTGTTTGTGGCTTTTCTTTGGTTGTTGGAGGATTTTGTTTTATTTTAAACTTCCTAGCTATATAATGCAGGGAGCTACTAGCAGAGCATTTCCTAACCTGAGACGGAATGAGCGCGGAGACCAAGGAAGGGCCCCCTCAGGCAGGGTAAAGGCAAAGAACGACCCGTGCCTGGTTAGCTTTAAGTGTTGATGGGTGAAAGACAGGAAACCACCCTAAGAAAAATAAGACCGTTTGCAAGATAGGCAGTGCTGTAATAGGATGTTATTACAGGAGAAAGGTGACAGATAGCAGATGGTTTATTAACCTATTGGTGAATAAATAAAGTTGTGACTTAGTGAAATTGTATTTGTTGATGTATGCCTTGCAGTTTTCAGGGCAAGGAGTCTCTTACAAGAAGTGAAGCTGTGAATCATTTAGTGTTAAAGAAAGGGGGGAGGAGGCAACTCCCCCCCCTCACCAATCTTCTTTTTGTTTTATTTTCTCTTTAACTTTTAGCTGACTCATTTTTAAAATTCTATTCTTAGTACTGTTTTAGTATTATATATTGGATTTTTCAAAGGCCATGAGGCTGCCAGGTACCTTAGGAGAGTATTACCATTTAGAAAGTCTCAGCTGCAATGAGAACTGACTTTAAAAGTGGTTTTAATATTGATGAGCGCTCATAATATCTGCTGCTTTTCAAGTGTATCATATATACAGGGGGAAAAAATGGTACATACTGGTTATATGTGAACTGTGAGCAGGGCTGCTTTAAAGAGGTGCTCGGAAAAGCTGCTGCTGCCTCCCTTTCCATATGAGGAAATCTGGTTGGTGTGCTAGTTGCTGTGCTAATTTTTCTTTTATTGCTTTCTTGTAAATGGAACTGGCAGAGCCCTTAGCCCCGCGCGCAGCCGCTCATGGCACTGGGGTGTTCAGGGAGCTGCAAGGAGCAGTCCTAGACTCTCCAGGCTGGAAAACTGCATTTGAGGTACAACAGTGAAGCTCCACCCCCTCCTCCTGCCTTCTTTTTTTCTTTTTAGCTTTGCAATTTAAAAAAAGTTGCTCTTTAAATGCTAGCATTTTTGTGCTGTTCCAGATAAAACACCTGGACATTTTATAACTTATTTCTTAATATGTAGACACTGCAAAAACTGGAAAAATGGGTGTGTGTTTATGGATGTTTTGTTTTTAGCAGCTCGTATAATTCATTTTTGGAAAGCAATCTAAGGGTAGATATGGGAACCTTTCATCCTATCTTAGGCATTGCACTTTACCATCTGTGGGACTTGGCAAATTTTGAGCTTGTAGTCTGATACTTCTCATCCCTTTGTTTTACTTATTTATTTTTTTACTTATTTTAAAAAAATGTTCTTGGAAGAAGGGAGCACTGTTTCTATCCCTCAAAATCAGTCCTTGTGAACGTATGGAAAATAAGCTTTCCAAGACTTAGCCTCAGCAACCTGCATGCTAGTAGTACTGATAGGTAATGAAGACCTGTTAGAAGGACATGACAGATGTGCCTGCTCCATCTGCCCAGCAAGTACATTATTCTTGCAAGAAATTAAATTTATTAATTCTTCCTGGGCTTGGTATTTGGAGTTCTTTAGCAGCTGCAGTGGCAGAGGGTGATGTTCATTCTCTGTGTCTTTAATTAGCTTGTGTTCTTTTGGTGCTACCGGCGGGGATTTGTTTTTTGTTTTTACCTCTGTGGTAGATGGGGCAGCTGTTCACGTACATAGCACAGAATGAAACTTTACATGCTTTATTTTATTGCAGAAGCCTTACTAATGTCTGGTCTGGCTGCTTTCAGGGCTTAGTGTAGCACCTTTAAAATCCTTTGAGTCAGGATCCTGTTTTGATCATCTCTTCCACTGTTTTCTCAATGCGTGTGGCTGGAGACCTCTACAGAATCATCAGCTAGCATTGACATTAAGCAGTAATAAATCCTAACACTGAGCACTTTACTCAGGATTTGTCCAGCTATTGATTTTGTATTTATTGCCTCCTGGAGTTCACCCAAGCAAAGTCCCTGATGTTGCATGGTAACAAACATCCAGTGGTGCTTCAGCTAATGAAGTTAGGATGGAGGGAAAGATCTGAGGCCTTGATCTAATGAGAGAGAAAGGCTTGGCCTAAGTGAATGATTTCTAGGTTATTTTAATTCATCAAATTGTTTTTATTAACTTTTTTAATTAAATAAGTAATCTATTTGCATAAATATGAGTTTGTAGTTTTGCGTTGGCATTAGAACAGATTTCCACATCTGGTCAAGTACCCTGCAGTATTAAAAAAACAAAGTATTTCTGCCCAAATTCCATTTTCCAAAACAGAGAAATGTACTTTCTTGAGAAACGAATGCCAAAGAGGGAGGCACTTTCACAGTGAAACGGGTAGTTGGAAAGACTCCTCCCAGCTCATGGCACGAGAGCTGGATGTGAGTGCCCCTGCTCTGGCCTGACTGCTCCCATTTTCTTTTCCAGAACTGATAAGCACAACTGACCTGCTCAGTCTCAGCGGAAAGACTCTCCACGTGACAGCGGGGCCAGCGCCGGCGCTGCCCGGCTCCCCCGGCGCTCTCCTCTGCCAGTATATCAACTTGCAGCTGCTCAATGCGCAGCCACAAGGTGTGTAGGGCTCAAACCACTTCTCGCTTGCACAATGCCCTTCTGGCTTAAGTTTTGGGCCCTCTTGCTTGCTGATGGAGATAGGTGTGTGTATTTTTCATTGGTAGGGGATGACTTTTTTTCTTTTGTGATAGAGAAAGAATAGCTGGTCTGAGATAAGGAATGGCATTTAAACCTGAGCCCTTGAACATTGTTTTTCTGCTTTGGGCCATCAGATCTCTTATGCAGCTTATTCAAAAAGGCTCTGTCTAAAAGTGGTGGGAAAATGAAGAGGACAGTTGAGGAGAAGCAAGTTCTTCTCAGGGAGATTATAAACAGCCTGTGAATCACAAGTCAAGGTTATTTAAAAGCCAAGAGAGACATATTATTAACTTGATCTGAAGTTATAGATATGAGTGTATAAATCTATTTCACAGCTGCTAATCTCCTAATTTTTACTGTGAAACCTCTCATTGGAAAAGATAAAAATATTGTGCCAGCCCAAGCTCTGTTATGCATCTGTTCCAGGCTGTTATTCCGTGGGCAACTTGCTGAAGCTGCTGAGAAGCTAGCTGGACTTATTTATTTATTTATTTAATGATGTAGTTATTGGTGTTCGTATGAGTTTCTTCAGGTAATAGTGGTTTATGTGTTCTGTGGAAAAATTTCACATCTTCCATTGGCATTTTCCAGATCATTCACTTGACTGTTGTATGGAATGCTGGAAGATTTTCTTTTATTAGTCAAGTTGTTAATAAGTATTTATATTTCTGGACTGATAATTCATGGATTTATTTAATGAATAATTATCTCTAAGTAGTTAGGTATGGTTGATTAATGAAGAAAAATGAATCGTGGGGAACAAGTCCTAGATTTTAATTTATTAAGAACAAATAAAGCTGCTATTTGCCAATAGTAATACAGCTGTTTATTTTGTTAGAATGTCAGAAAGGAACAGTGGGAACTCTTCTAATGGAAAACCCTGTTGGTGAGAATGGATTAACATATCAAGGTCTTCTACATGAAACGGCAAAAGTTTTTGGACTCAGAAGCAGGAGGCTAAAGTTGTTCCTAGATGAAGCACAAACACAGGGTAAGCACAGACTTTTGCTTTGCTTTTTGTAATGTCTGAGGATGCTTGGAAGTTTTTATTGAGAAGCAGCTCCCTAATTCTTTGCCTAAGGTTTAATTTATTAAGTAAATGCATGATATTTTTGTTGGTTTCATATTTTGCCTGATAATATTTTGTTTACTTAATAGAATCCTTTATGCATATGCATCTATGCTTTCAAAGTTTTAATATATTTTCCTCAGGTGACCTTGTCTGTAGATCCGTAAGTATAATTTCCAGAAAATTTGTTACAGCCACAGAATACAGCCCCACAAAATTTAATATAACCACACATATCAAGAGATAGTGAAATTGGAATGAGTGGTGCAAGGTGGGGATGAGATAACCAAGACCAGTTCTCAAAAAGATTCTTCCTTTTGTAATTGAAAGGTCAGTGAGCAGTGTAAATACTGGTTACTTCCTGATATGACTAATGGTTTCCTAGAAATAAGTGAGTTTAAACAGTAAATATTTCAAGAACCTCCTCAAATTGTTCCTGTAACAACCATGTTGTTGAAGACACATGCACTTGCACTCTAGGTTTTTTGGAGAAAGGGCATGGAGGCAAAACAGTATCAGGTTCTATCCCAGAGCTGTGTAGCTCAGCCCTCCTAGGGTATGACAGCTGCACTGCCTGCAGAGTCCCCGGGAAGCAGAAAGCTTCACCCTGTAGTCAGATATATCCCTACAGAATGAAAATATTCTGAAAACATAGTCTGAAGATGAGGCTTAAAAAGAAGCATTTGTGATGCGTAAGAAAGATAAAAGCTAAAGATCTAGCCTCACAATAAGTGACATGCTCAATGATGTCAACAAATAAAGAGAAGTATAGAGAAACTGAGTATAGCGTTTTTAAGCTACAAAAAGTATAAGAACAAAATATACTAATCACATTTCATAACCTCATAAACAAAAAAGTGTGTGTGCAAAACCTTGCTGAAATTATGTGATTGTATTATACTTGTTCATTTTTGGTTTTTTAATCATAGTTACAGAGCAAAAGGAACTATTCCCCAATCCACCCTTTCTTCCCTTTGTAATATAGGAAAAATGATCTGTAAATAAATGCCAAAGTGATGAGCATCACCCATTCATAAGATTGATAAGATTTATTTGGTGCGAATCTTCCTTTGGAGAAGTTAACACAGAAAAGAGAATGTTTTGACATTAGGTTGGTAAATCAGCCTTCCAATTTAAAAGTAATAGTGATTGTTGCCTTAACTACTGTTGAAAATATTAACTCTATGTAATTTGGAGGTTTGGTTTTTGAAGTTTTGCATTTTATTGTGATTTCACGTATCTGTAACTGCAGAGGGCAATAGTAAAGTCTCAAAATTCCTAAACAAAAGAAAGAAAAGGCATTCAGACCAAATTTGTGAAATTAACACATCAAAATAAGTTTTCTACATACTGAGATTATCTTTTCTTGGAGAAGAAAAGATAATGAGGGTATAAAACTTAACTGTTGATTTGGATTAGGCCTGCAGTTATTTACCTCTGGAGCTTGATAAACAACTGCTCAAAACAGGGTGCTACACTGGAAGAGGACTCTTAAAACCCTATTAGCAGGATCCATAAGGCTGCTTAATCATTTAATTAATAGATCAACTTTAAAATTTCATGCAGACTGTATTTGCTGTCCCTAAAAATGAAGCATCTTTCAAAGCAAGATGGGGACATGCACATCAGAAGGACATACATACTTTTGCATGGGAACAGAGCCCCTTGCTGATGTTTTCAGAATCAACTTTCAGTCTGGACCCTGTACTGTGGAAAACTAAGCTGCTTTGCCATTACCTCCGTGGAGGCATTTCACAAATGTACCCCCTCCGTGCGCAGCTTCTTCATTTCTGTGAGCTGGAGGGGAGGCCCCTGAGCCCAGCGTGGATGTCGGTGCTGGGAGGCCAAGCGCTGGGCACAGCAAAGCACCTGACAACTCTCAGTGTTATTAATCTTTCATTTGTACTAACAAGTGCCAGAGTTTTAGATTATCTTTTATTTGCTTTTGCTGTTTACATGGATTTTAGTGCGCAGAGTAACACAGTAAACCTCTGATATCCTTTTGCTTTGCTTTCAGTGGAAGTATTAATGGTTACCGCACTGACGTTGCTTAAGAAAGAGACTTCAGGTGCATTTGGTACTCAGATTGGTTTTGAATCCTGGAAGGTTGCAGCAAAAATAAGCTGCTCTGGCATTGGTGGGATTTGCCACAGCCCGAGGGCGGTGGGAAAGCATCTAAGGGCTGGGAACGAGCGCTCGGCAGGAAAGAGGCCTCCTGTTAATAGCCTTGGTAGTGGCGACCTTGGTAGTTGTTGGGCTTCTCTTCTGTAGCTGCAAGGCAGGATTACTGTGTGATTGTGTTTAATAAGTAGTTGGAAACTGACTCAGAATTATGGATATATGTTACATTTCTAAAAGGTTTGTTGATGAGATTTTATTGATCCAGACTATGTACAAAGCTATAAAAAAGGAAATTAGGAATTCATCCACTGTGGTGTGAAAGTCTTGAGGCATACTTGACAGGATGGCAGCATTAATTTCTCTGCCAAGCAATTATAAAGTATAAAACTGAAGTTAATATATGCATTTTTCTTATACTCCTTTATCAACTTGTTGCCCTGACTTCTGTCAGGGGCAGGAGAGGGACAGAGGAGACAGCTCGTTGGTCTGTCCATTGCGGCCGTTCCCACATGGTATTTGTGAAGACCTCTGCTTTTCAGTGCCTTGTGTTGGATTATTAATATTGACATTGTTGCATTACAAAATAATTCTGTGAACTGAATGTCACTCCATATGGATGTGAAGCTGGGAGCTGAAATGTTCTTTGAAAATTTGGGCATCTTAACCTCCAGCAGGATTTTAAACTCTTGTAGTAGGAAGCCCAACATGTGGTGACTTTTCCTTTAGTGCACTGTGTTTTAATAGGTGGGAACTGGAGCTCAATATTTCAAGGAAACTGGTAGAACTGCCTGGATAAAGAAATAGATGTATTGATAGCTCTAATATATAAGAAAGTACTAGCTATGTCTCTTGTTTTTCTTTTGTTTCAGAGATTACAAAGGACATCTCAATGAAGATCCTGAATATGAAGACTGTATATGTCTGTGTTATACCCACCACAGCTGAATGCTAAGGATGCCATTTTTACGATTAAGACCATGTAGACTTTTTTCCACAGAAATGAAACCAAATTGAATTAGTATGCTTTCAAATTAACATCCTAGTTGTGTATCGTACTTCTAACATCTCGCATTGAACACGGGATGTTTTCTACCAGTGCATGTGTAATATGCTGCTCTTTGGTTTCAAATACAATGTATTTTCATGATGTTATGATACTGTAAAAGCTGTTCAGAGTCATGTCCGAGCTCCTTAACGCTAGTTATCTATGCAGTAATTTACCTGGCTGAAATGAGACTAGTACCTCAGTGACGCTGTTCTCTGCCTGCGTGTTACGCAGGGAGCATCTTCGCTTTTCTAAACGGTGGGTTATGTGCAAGGCTCTATCATACGTACACTATGTTACAAAAGCTTTGAAAATTATTAAAGGGTTCCCAGCTTTGTTCATTCATGCTAGGTGGATTTTCCTAAAGTGTGTGGTGGTTGATTTAAGATATTTCCAAATTCCAACAGTTTGAACAATAAATTTGCTTTTTCTCCAAAGTCTCGTTTCCCTGAATTTGGAGTACTTGCGTTTCTTTGCTTTCTAGGGATGACACATAACACCTCATATGGGTTGAAGAAAGCGTAGAGGAAACTTGAAATCTGAGGAGTATCAAACTTTAATGACTATCTAAGTCGTGATATTGTCAGATTTGGAGATTTTCTTGGAGTTAGGGTTTTGGGGCTGCATTGTATGTGTATTTTCTTCAGATTTCAAAACAAGTTTTAGGTTTGAATTAGAGCTAAGTGTTTGTTTTGTTTTGCTTTTTATTTGATATAATCAGTATATTTTGTCAAATTTTTGTGTTAGCTTTTATACCTGTTTAAGTGAAATAGCAGGCAGCCTTTTTTTCAGCTGGAGGATGATGTTTTTGGCTATAATGCTGGATGACTGAAGGGGAATTGGACACAACTTTCACAGAATTTCATAGTGTTAATCATTGTTGAGACCTATCACTGTACAGAATCCCTATGAAGGGATGCAACTGCCTTCACTCCTGTGTCTGTTTAGTAGCTTTCTAAGAACAAGGTTTCATAAACTGCAAACAAGAGTATTAACAAGGAACAATGTGTTGTAAGAATAATGAAGACTTGCTTAGCATATTTTTGCATTGCTGTTTCTCATCTTTCATTTATATTTGCCTAGCTACAAATATAAGAATCAAAGCTTTTATTTTTTTCTGAAATGTGTGGTATTACCATCATAGACTAAAAATAAATACTCTATGTAGTAGTTATGCTTTAGTGGCCAATGCCAAAGCTATTAAGTGCTCATTTGAAGTAGATCAAGTCTGCTCAGCATTCAGCATAAAAAGCATTTATATATATATATCTATATAAAAATGTCGATGCCTGAAGTTACTGAAAACTGGCCTGTACATTTTAATATAAGTTGATCATTGTTCAGTGCCTTTCCCTTCAAGTAAGCTGGTTTATCTTTTTGCTGGCTTAATGTCATGGAAATCAAGAAGGGTTCCAATGTATGTTGATACATTTTATCACATTAAAAAAAGTTCCTATCAAAAATATACCTTCTGTGAAGGAAAGATTGCTGATCCTGAGTGATTTTGCTTTACTTTTTATAGAGAGTAAACCAAGTTGGTAAAAGACTGCAATATAGCCTTTTTCTCGATGAAACAAGCTCTCTCTTTTCATGATGACTGTCAGAAAGGGAGTGTCTTTTTTTTTTTTTTTTTTTTTTTTGCCTTTTTAAAGAACTATTTGGGACTTAGGTTTTGGTGTCTGTGTAACTCTGTGGAGTGGTTTGCATTATGTATATGCTCTTCAGGGATTGCAAAGCGAAGATTTCTGAATTCACTCTGAATCAGCAACGAGTAGAAGACGACAAAATATTTATCCTAACCTTTATACTTTCTCAAATGTACTTGTAGCTGCTTAATGTTAAAAAATAGTTTGTCATGCAGAGAAGGGCTGCTTTTTGTGACCTAAATCTGATAATCTCCTACTTTGCATTAGATATAGTGAAATAGGTTTCCTAGATTTTTCTTTAGGCAAATAACTGCTTTATGCTGAAAATGAAAACTGCCTTTCTATTGATTTTATACTTAATCTTTCTCTATGAAGATGTTCTGCAGAAGAAAACCGCCTGTGAAGCACTGTTAAAATAAAGACTGAAACATCCTGATAAAGTTTATCATCAGAGGTAAAAGATTTAAATTATTTACTCCTTGGAAAGGGCTGAATGAGAAATAAAGCTGATAAACTTTTATGTGCAGCATATCCTGGTCAACACCCATACAAACCTGAGGGAGAAAAGCCATTATTCCAGGAAGATGGGATGATAACAGAGTATAAGTTAGATGGGAAACATTGTGTTTTTTCCCTGCAATTTCATTACTACTTCTTTCAACATGGCCTGAGAAAGCCCTTTTCCATGGATTTCTACTCTTATCACAACAATATGAGGCAAAACACAATGTTGAACTGCTCCTACAAAGCCTCTGCGCTGTGTAACAGTTGTGTTTGGACACTGCTTTATAGAAGGATGCTGCCTACCCAGCCGTTCAGATTTGAATCTGAAGAGATGTCTCTTAAGTTTGTCTTAGTGTCTTCTAGCTATATTTCGCACTAGTGGAAGACACGTATACGTATTCCTGTTCCTTGAGCTGGAAGCAAGCACTAGCACCCTTGAAGAGCACAAGGAGGTGCTTCTGCTTTCTCTCAGGGTGCCAGTGGGGACGGCAGTCAGGTCGAAGGTGTCTCCTTTCAGGCGGCAGTGTGGCACATGGGATTGGCTTTCAAAGAAATGCAAAACTCTTGCTTGTCAAGGAGTATGTTCCAGCTGGCCCTGAAGCTGTCTTCAGAGAAGCTGGCTAGATTAATTCTTCAGTAGGATCTGTTTTTCTTTTGCTAATGAGGCTTGAGCTTAAAAATAAGAGAATTTTATCCACCTATATAACTTTATCTACCTTTAAATTAGATGTTTTTAGAGGGCATGCAGTATAAACTAAATTAAACTTATTAGATCTTAATATAACTTGATTGTAATGTAACTTAAGTGTGCTTTTTATATTAAGATATTGATTCTTTACAGTGAAGTGGGTGTTGTATGAACACAAAGTTTCACTTGCCTGTTTCTTTCCAGGGTTATGGACTTAATTTCCAAGGTCAGGAATAGTGCATGATAGTCTGTGCCTCCCTTGGCTGGAACAGAAACTGAGATGTGCTCTTGCTGTCTCCAGTCTGATTATATCACAAGCCCGGAATTGCCTGTAAATGCTGCTTCTGTCTTTGGTAGGAGCAGTAAAGGTTAGTAAAGGGGGAAATTCATTAAGCTTATGACAGGGAATGAAAGAATGAGACCAAAGTTTGTCAGAAGGTACTGCTCAAGTTGACTTCTAGGTTAATTAATTTGCATCAGCCTTGTACATACGTAGCATGCAATTAATAAGATTTTTTGTTGTTGCAGAGTAACAGTTTAATTCTACTTTCAGCTGCTGCTGCTCTGTTAGTCAGATAAGCTATCTCATCTCTAAATCACAGTGACAGAGTATTAGGAACAAGTTGTGACCCAGTAGGGTGAATTTGTGCTTTTTCTACTACCTTCTTTCTCTACATCTGTTTTTAGTATTCCTTTCTTTTCTCCTAGTTAATATCTAATTATTTCTTGAGAGAACTTGCCTCACGGGATCTTAAAGTGAGAAAAGTTTCCTGCTAGTTTTAATTTTTTGCTAATTCACTTCCTTAACTTCATCTAGGTTAAGCTAATAATAGCATTTTGGCTTGATGTGATACTCTTCATGATTTATATACTTCAATTAACTTCTCTCTCAAATAGCTATGCTATGGAAATCAGGTCCTGGTCCTGGACCACTATTGCCTCTTTCTGCATAGAAAAAATGTGAGCACCTAGGTGCTTGCAGCACTTTTATACTGTTTATTGAACTTTCTTCTTGAAACCTGCGGGGAGGTTCCTGACCTTCCCCTGCTCTCTGCAGCAGCGCAGGCAGCTGCAGGAGCTTGGTGCTGCTGAGCAAGCTCTGTGCAGCTTGGGAGCTGCAGGCAGTGGAACCAAATAGATTTGTGTTTGTGTCTAGCAATCACAGTGCTGTGGTTTAAAACAGAAAAACAGACACATCTGTTTTCTTCCACTCCCCGCATCCCCTTTGCAGTGTCTCAAATGTTCTCCCTCCCCATTCCTCCTCTCCCATCTGTCCTTTTTCTTCCAGATGGGTATTCAGTGGTTGGTCCGAATTGTCATCCTTGATTTAATGAAAGGACCTGGCCTGGGCAGAGCCTGGTGCCGGGGCTGTGTCCGTGCTCTCTGCTGGGGCTGAGCTGGGTGCAGCAGGGCCAGGCAGCGGCAGCGCCGCAAAAAACCTCCTCCCAGCTGAGTGTGCAGCCGGGCGATACCTGCATCTAGTGCCTTGCTGCCATGCAGAAGTGATAAGGAACATCGGTGTCCTCTTGCTTGCGATGTCCTCGCAGAGAGAAGATAACTTAGAAAAATGAATTTGTAGCTTCTGCTTTTCCTCTTTTGAGCTAACTAGCAGCCAGTGGCTGTTACAGCTCCTTGCAGCTCAGCTTTCTGTAGTTCTTGGGCGAAGGTGGAGTCTGGGTATCCTTGTCATTACTGGCTGAGCACAAAGCTGGGGGAGGGTGGGTCTTCAATGAGCAGGTCTCCAGTTAGTTTTTCTCAGTTAAAATGTTTAAGTAACCAATATAATTACAGCTTGTATGTGATGTTGGGGTGGGGGGTGCTATTTCAGCAGGTCTGGGTACTTCAGTTAAGTGAGCAGAGTTCTAGTAGTTCTAGTTAGGATTACCCCCCTCCTCTGAAGACTTCTAAAATTCCTTGAAGCTGCAATTAGAATAAAACTGCCCCTAAATATCTGTTGAGTTTATAAGATTTTTCTGGGGTTAGAGATCAGGGAGTTCTATAAATTGCCCTCATTTTGCAATCGGTTCTCAGTCCCTAAAATCTCCCAGATATTTAAAATGCCCCCTGGCACTTAATATTTGCTACCTTTGATGGTACATGACAGCCAGACATCTGTGCACAAGGTGTTCCTTAGAACATAATCTGCAGTACCCTTAAAGGACAAATTTCCTTTACTTTTCAAGCCAGTTATTTTGTAGAGGGAAAGGCAGTGCTGTGTCATTAACAGTGCAGGCA